TTCCCTGGCCCTGGTTGGGGTCGTGTGGATGGCAACCAATCAATGTGTCTCTCTCACATCGATGTTTCTCTCTCTCTCTCTCTCTCTCTCTCTCTCTCTCTCTCTACCCCCTCCTCCTCTTCCTCCTCCTCCCTCTCCCCCTCCTGCTCTATCTGAAGATAAATGCAAAAATGTCCTAGGTGAGGATAAAAAAAAGAAGAAAAAGTATCAGCTGTAATTGAACGACCCTGAACTAAATACTGTAACCATTTTTTATTGGTTCTTTCCTGTGTGGGAATTTTTAAGAATATACCATTCTACCTATCCTTTCATAATATTTATTATGAAACATAATTGACACCACTCTTTTTTTTTTTTTTTTTTTTTTGGTACGTGCCCCTAGTGGGAACTGAACCCGGGACTCCCTGGTCTGCAGGCCATGCTCCAACCGCTGAGCCAAACCAGCCAGAGTGACACCACTCTTATGTGTAGTTTTACATTCTTGCTTACTTATATAATGAGCATTTTCTTATTGTTTTTCAAAAAATTCAATGACTGTGCAATAATCTAATTTATACTAGAATTTATAATAATCAACCTGCTGTTTTTAGACATCTGAACTATAGCCACCTTTTCATTGTTTTAAATAGCACTGTAATAAAATCTTTGTATAAACACTTCTGATTATTTCCTTAAATTGGATTCCTAGACATGAAATTACTGATCAGAGTATGTCTAGACTTACGGGATTTGCTATACAATTGCCTACCTGTGCTGTCTAGTATGGTAGCCACTTAGCCACATGTAGCTAGTCATATTTAAATTTAAATGCAATGTAAAAATCTGTTCTTCTGTTGCACTGGTCACTAGTCTTGGTCCACAATAGCCACGTGGGGCTGGTGGCTACCATGTGGGACAGTGCAGACAGATGACATCTCCACACTTCGGGAGGTTCTAAAGGACACCACTGTTTTGGAGAAACCACACTTACTGTTCCTCCATAATTAGTCTTTCTACTCCTTTATCAACTTTGAGTCATCATTTCAAGACTTAACAGGCAAAAAATGGAGTCTCGATTTAATTCATAATTATTTCTAGTTAGAGTTGACCGTTTTGCCCATGTTATTAGCAACTGCATTTACCTTGAATTCTCGTTTTGCTAGTCTTGATATTTTCCCCGTAGATCTAGACGTGCTGGTAGGGTACTATCAAGGAGCTGGGCATCATGCTCACACCTCCATGGCCAGGCCCCGGACCAGAGCACATGACACCTCTACTGGAAAATTGTAGAGATATTCTTTCCAAATGAAGGTGTCAGTTGTCATACTCTGGTTTTCTGTAGCCTTCCTTCCCCGTCTTGTTTCCTCTGGTGTTCCGAGTATTTGTTTGGTTTCCTGGCTAGTTTGTTTAGAGGCTGGGGCTGTTTCCCTACTTCTCAAGCATGTGTCCCTGCTGTCCCCCACCCCCAGCCCTGTACTCCAGCCGGTGACCATAGTACCCTGTGCCTCCCACCTAATAAACACCACTTAATGGAATGCTACACTTTTGAGAATGGCAGAAAGTAAAAGTAAAAAAATAATAATAGCTAATTTTATTTTTAATGGGACATTTAGTTTCTGTAGCAGAGCCTATTTAAGTTTATATTAAATATTTGCTCCCCCAAAGCAAACATGGTTCGGCAAAACTCTTGGTATATATGAGTTATTTCACAATGTTCTCTTCCTCGGTTGACAAGTGTGAGACAGGAAACCAAGTGCTATCAAAGATGATTGGGAATAGTGTGTACACACGCTGTAGCCCCTCCTCGTGCTCCGCCTCAGTCCTGAGCAACAGCAAAAACAAATGCACAGAAACATGTAGGCATGTGGGAGGTGAAAAGGGATATTTTATTTACCTGCAAGAAAATGTGGGATCCTCCCTTGGCGTTCCCCACTGTGCCTGGGGTGGGCGCCCTGCAGAAACCCAGAGCCCATTGCCTAAAAATGTTACCCCAACTCAGTAGGCAAAGTAGATTGAATGCTGGATAAACTCGCCCTTGCTTTATTCCACAGTGAGACCAACACTGATTATATGAGCTAAAGTTGACCTAGAACACATTTGTGAGCATTCTCCTTCCTCTTCAATGACAATAAGAAGGGACACGTGTAACTAATTAAGATGGAAGTGGAGGTAATGGGCCTAGTTGGCTTTTAGCGCCACCTTGTGGCGATACATTCAAATCCTGGGCCTTATCAAGGACGCCAAGATTAAAAAATGATAGCCCTGTTGAAGAGAAGTTTGGATTTAATGACAATCATGGGAGAGGTCATTTTTTTTGGAGAATACACGCTAATAGATAAGCACTTGGCAGCAGCACTTGCTGTAGGTAGAAGGATCTCAGCCTCAGAGATGTGAAGGCTGAGGCTCAGAGAAGTTGGAGACCTGAATTAGGCAAGTCTTAATTCATACTCCCAGTTCTATCATGTATTAATACTATTGTACTATATCATGTAGCATATATTAAAAACTCACAAGAAATACATAGTACTATGTAGTATAGAATAGGTTATATACTGTGTGGTATAATACATACCTTGGAATATGTGTGTGTGTGTGTGTGTGTGTGTGTGTGTGTGTATAAAATATATGGCATATGCACCATACTATATGGTACTATGGTGCTTAAGCTATTTTCTGTAGTACTGCCAACCAGTACTCACTACCTTTCTAGGGGCTGTTTTATGTCTATGATGACAAGGCAATGTTGGTTGACTCTTTGTAATCTGATTGAACAAACGCTGTTAGTTTTGCTGCTAAACTGTGTCCTTGCTTTCCTGCCTCCCTGGGCGCCCAAACTGTGGGTGACGGTCCTTGTCCGCTGTCTTAAATCAGGGGTACAATAATCGAGGTGTGCCTAGGGAGGATGAACACAAGGACACTGAGGCAGTGGGTCTGAGGCCATGTTTTCACAATGCTCAGATATTTTGTTTTTTGTTCCTTAATCCAATTCACTGGCTCACAGCTAAAACCCCAATGGACTGAGTCACCTCATTCATTTACCTAGAGGTATATTTTACAACCGGTATATTTTAGAGTAGGGTCACAGAGAAGTCACCTTGCTCAGTGTCAGAGGTGGCATGTCATTAGGCCTGCCTTAAATATTCCAAGTGAAAACTTGCAGGCTTTCCTCTATGGGGTAGGAATTTGGGGTTATAATTGCTCCTGGGAATCACAACTCCAAGTTGTGTTTGAAGGAAACTGTTGGCCTCATTCGCAGGTGTCCCCAGTCCGCTACTGGCCAGGGTCCTTATCAGCCTCTTCGGCTTTCTTCGCTCCTGCCTCGCAGGCACACCGGCTGCCCTGGACCAGCGCCCTCCACCTGCTGTGCTCCTCAGTGCAGCTGTCCCCGTTCTGCAAGTGGAGGTGACAATTCCAAATGACTAGATAACAAAAGCCCACGCTTATCCTGCTACACCGCACTGCTTTCTACTCTCCACTTCAACTAGCCACTAAAATCCAGGCCACACTGGTCAGAACTGGAGGAGGAAAGAGGTGAAAGGACTTCTGTGGCGCTGGCACCAGGCAGTTCTGGGCTGAAGTGGTGCGGGCGTCACTGGCGGAGGGGCGCAGAGGGAGGAGTCCTGGACTGGAAGCGGACAGCCTGGGTCCTGGCTCCGCCCTAACAAACTGCTCTGAGGCGAGGTTTGACTCACTCTGTAAGGCCCATGGCATCTAGCTCACAGGCCCATCTTCTTTACAAGCTGATTTCAAAGAGTAAAACATTGCTAAGGACAAACCCTGCACCATGATCAGCTTTGCTCTCGCCCAGGGTCGCCATCCCCAGCCTTCACAAGGGGAGACGGCATTAAAGCGAGATGGCGGGCGTTCCCCTTGCTTCCTGCGCTCCACCGGCCCCCCCGAGGAAGTCAAGGACAGGTAGCAGTTAGGACACCCAGCAGGCAAGTGTCTGAGACCAGCTGCCTCTCCCTCTTCTTGCCAGGACTCACTCCCATTGTGCTAGGACTACTAGTCGGCCCCTCACGCTGGGGCCCCTCCTCTTCAGAGGTGGTTGGGGTGAAGGGCCCTGGCCTGCTGCATGTGCAGCTCAATCAATATGCTCAAGAAATATGCTCTCAGAAACAGCTTTCTCCAAAAAGTGAGACATGAAAGCTTATAGGAGCATCTTTTATTAGCAGGCCAAAAGAATTCGGATTGTATTTCATAAAGTAAAAATTGTACGGGAATGTTTGGTCAGCAGACCAATTTCAGGATTTCCCTTTTCTACAAATACTAGCTATGTGACATTGGGCATGTCAGTCATTTACCCTCTAACCACTGCCTCCTTGTTTCCCAACAGGGATTTGGGGCAGTCCATCCACTGTACTTCTGGAGAAACTGCATTGGGCAGACGAGGGGAGGGGAGGGGACAGGTGGTGGCCTTCCCTTCTCTCCCTCAGGGCAGCGTGGCAAGGACTGGCCCAATTATAGAGGCCTCAAGAATCAGGCAGGGAGCCCTGGCTGGTAGCTCCAGGTAACCACCTGGATACACCAAGGTGGTGGGTACAATCCCTGGTCAGGGCACAGACAAGAAACAACCAATAAATGCATAAATAAGTGGAGCAACAAATTGATGCTTTTCTCTCTCTTCTCTCAAATCAATTAAGAAAAAAAATTAGGCAGCCAACCACAATGGGTTCTTGAGACATAGCAAAAGTGGCCTTTGTGTAACAGTGGTTTTAAAGAGGCACATGAATAATCTGAAGAGGAGAAAAATGGGCAAATATGAGACACTGGAAAAAGATAAGAAAAGAGAGCAAGCTTTCAGACTAAAAATACATATGGATGTGTTATTTTAGTCTATTTGGCCTCATTTTTCTACAGGGTTGCCTGACATGCTGCACGTCAGACTTATAGACAGACGCACATGAGTAATAACCAAGATCTCTTTAAGTGCAACAGGGTCCTTAAGCTCTCTTTCAGGGACTTTTATAGTTGGACAACATGGCTAAATTATAACATAAATTTTCTTTACTTTCCAGGCCTTGCAATTTATTTGCTTTTGCATTTCTATAACACATACACACACATACAACTTTTTAATACAAAAATTATATATACTCATTTAAAAAGTTAAAATATAAAAATATACAAAATAGAAAGTGACTTTAAACATTCCTCTTCAAGGGGAGGCATAAAAGTCAACCCTGAGAAAGGTCAGGACCTGTGACCCAGGCCCAGGGTCACAGGCGTTGGGTTCTTTGGAGACTTTTGGAATTTGCTCTGAAGGAAAACTCTTGGCACACACAGACCTTCTTTTTTGTTCACCGTCTCACGAAATACATACTCATTTACCACTTCTTCATAACCTGTGTCCACAAAGAGCTGAGCCAGGAATTCTGCAAGACAAGCAGATCAACAATGCTCAGTTAGATACTATTTGATTTGCTTTGCAGTGGGTAAGGAGGAAGGCTGGAGGGCTGAGACATGTATTCTTTTAATGAAATGAAAACTTTAATGCTAAAATTTAAAGGTTTTGTTTTGGAAAGGAACACACTCCTACTTCTCATCATCTTACACACAAATAGAAACCCCCAACTAAAAATGTAATCAGAATAGTTTAAGGACAACCTGGACGGTGCCCACCTTGCCCTATTATGAGTCCCCAAATGCAAAAGTCTAAGTAAAAGGAAACAGAATTCCAAACTGGCTGTATTCATACAAAGCCTGCATATGCTCAGTTAGTTTACACCAAGCACCTCATCTATGCCAACATGAAGGAGGAAAACCTGTGACCACTGTGGGGAAAGAAGTCATCTGGTGATATACCCCAAGGAAAATGTAACTCAAATAACACATCTCTACATGTTAGATGAAACAAACAAAATAAATGGCTACGTAGCAAAAGTAAAGACTCGCTAAGAGCATGACTCCAAAGACTGCTCTGAGCACTTGACAGATATTACTGCAGCTTCTCAATGATTTACAACTGGTTTAATCAAATTTCATGAATCAGAAACATTGAAACAATTTTTTAATTTTCACCGGACAATTTTTATGATTTTGCAGTTTGAATGGTAATCACTCATTTTTTAGACTCCAAAAGTATATTTTATCTCAAGAAATACAAATGTTTGTAAAAAACACAGCTTAAGAAGGTAATTATCTTATGGTTCAGATTATTAAGTAGGTTTAAAATTCATGTTCATGTTCAAAATGCCTAAAAGACTAAAATAATGTTTATTGTTCAAATGTTTTTCATAAAAAAAAAAAAAAAAAGACTTTTTAGGGACCCCTCTGTAGTAAATTTGTACATTTAAATACAGATCTAATCACTTTTATAGAAAAATGTTCCTTCATGACCTGGGAGAGTACTCACAAGGCAGTACACTGTCCTAGTTCCTTTATTTATTTGTTAATCCTCACCCGATGATATTTTTCCATTGATTTTTAGAGAGAATGGAAAGGAGGGAGGGAGAGAACCATTGATGTGAGACACATCGATTGGCTGCCTCCCACATGACCCTGACTGGATCAAACCTGCAACTCAGGTACACACCCTTGACCAGAATCAAATCTGTTACCTTCAGTGCCCGGACCAATACTCTAATAGCTGGGCCAAACCAGCCAGGGCTTCCTTTATTTCCTACTGAACAAACTGAGGAAGATCCTGAGCTGCCCTCCCTTTTCCAGCACAGATCCTGGTGGGGTATCCGCATGGCATGTCAGAGGCTGTCCGTTAACCCAGGCTAACTAGACACGTCACCAGAGGCGGCCCGTGAACTCTGCCCGGCCAGGGGCTGTGCTAGTTGTCCCAGGTGCTGGTAAGTGCACGTGTCAGAGAGCTTGTTCCAGGGTAAGGTGCATGTATGCTGAGTACAGTCATCCCCATCCCCAACCAGATACAGTTTGATAAAGCAATCAGTAAACACAAAGAAAGACATTCCATTAATCTTACCATCAGTAAAAAAATACGATCTGGTTCCATCTTGTCTAACATAAAAGTTTTCTCCAAGTTTGCTGCCGGCTTTAAACCTAAGCATGGCGTGATCATATAGCCCATAGTCGCGAAACAAGACACTTTTGCCTGGTTTTAATACCTACAAAGCAAAAGCAGGCTGCATATAACTCTGGGGAACCGAGTCACATAAAGCTTACTATAAAATAAAATCTGATTAATTCGGAGATTGAATTAACTTACACTTATGATAATTGTGAAAGAGGTCAGACTAAAATCCCCATAATATGAAGGGAAAAGGGTCTGCTGCTAATCAAAGGTACAGTCAGACTTGGCAGTATGCCCACAAAGGGATACTCCTTGAGCATTATAAGAGCACTCTAAAAGGTCCAGTGTTGTACAATTAAAATGTCAAAGATATTCAATGAAACTGTCTTATCCTCATTAAAGCATGTTCTTCCAACATTTTATTAGCCATCGCCTAGTACATGACCCTGTAGTTAACTGTCTTTTAAAAAAAACATGTCATTTTGGCTTTTTACTGATTTAGCTGGCTTCCCTCATTCTGAGTCTCAGCTCTGATTTCACTGTGCTAGTTACGTACAGCTTGCCCACCATGCTAATAACCGACACATGCCTAGCACTGCACAGCGTACCAGACACTCTCATTGGATCTTCATCCAATTCAGAGGAAGGAAGGAGTGTGCTTATTATCCTCATGTGAGATGAGGAAACTGACATCATAAAAGGTAAGTGATTTGCCTACGATCACACATCAGCTACCAAGTGGGGGAGTCAAAAGGTATCATACTCTAGAATTAGAAATATCTGTTGGCCCTTGGGTGGGGGGGGGCGCATGTGTGTGGTCATTACCATTCCACTGACACTACTCACAAGGAAAGAGGGGCTATGAGGGGGACAGTAACTGAGTTTTCTTCCCACACTGCACTGCACTTCTTGATGTGAAGAGTGGTCAGCCACTGCAGTGCGTAGGGAAGGGTTCGATGTCAGGCCCAAGAGGGATTCCCTCACCAAAGCCTTTCAGAGAGAGGTGTCACAAAGATGTCTCAAAAATTGGAAGGTAAGATCAGCAGGAAGTGGTTATAACTGCCCCTATTTGACAAAGCAAATGGTTTTCAGGATAAAAAGGAAGTAATACACATTGACACTTTTTATGTGAAAATTCTTTCAAACTGCTAATATTACCAAATTAGAGTGGACTTCAAAGGGGGCACTAATCTGCCCTGGCCGGTTTGGCTCAGTGGTTAGAGCGTCGGCCTGCGGTCCAGAGAGACCTGGGTTTGGTTCCCGCTAAGGGGCATGTACTTCCGTTGCAGTTTGTCCCCGGCCCTGGTTGGGTCGTGCGGGTGGCAGCCACTTGATGTGTCCCTTTCATGTCAATGTTTCTCTCTCTCTCTCCCTCCCTCCCACTCTATCTGAATAAAAAAATGGAAAAATGTCCTCAGGTAAGGATTAAAAAAAAAAGGGGGGAGTGGGGTGGGCACTAAGCTTATTAACTCTTATTCTGACCCATCACACCAACAAGATGTTTTAGGACAGATGACACATACTACCTATTATAATAGATATTTGATGTAGTTTGATGTATTTCTTCTTTCTGAATAGAATATAAAACATTGTCCACATTACTTTCCAGTGTGCTAGCAGATTCTCTCATTTAGTAAATGCTTATCAACACTAGCATGCACTTTAAATACTGTCAGTGAGAAGTCTCTTGGATAAAAATATTCTTACCTTGGTCAAAAATGCTAAGTTTTAAAATGTGAATTGAGAGGGAAAAATTCTGAAAAAATGTAGCTCATATGAGGAAGACTTGTTCTTCACTTCAGAAGGGAATGCTGCGTGGGACAGTGGGAAGAGCACCCACTCAGGAACGTGGAGTCTCAGTACATATCGCAGGCCTTCCATTAACTAGCTGAATGACCTTGAGCAAGTAATTTCATCCCTCTGTGTTTTCTCATCTGTGAAATAATGATGATGACACTAATGCTTCCTTTGATCACGCACTGTGTAGTTCACCAGGCATTTCTCGGCACTGGGGTCTTCCGTTCTCCCAGTGACTCCGAGAAGCGGGTAGGTCAGGTCTATGAAACCCACTTCACAGCAACTAGGCTCAGCGTGAAGTGACCGCCTGAGGATTCAAGGCAAGGTGGTGGCACCATTCTATTCCAAAATTGAAGGAATTCAACTTTAAGGTTTTCTTTCAGTTTAAAATTATGTGGTTTTTAAATTTTCTGGTGTTAACATCCTGGAGTAATTAGATCTACCTTAAAACAGCTTTTGTAATTCTTTTAATATTTTCTAATTAGACAATTATCTGAAAATAGTAAGTTTTGTTTCTTTCTCATCCTCAAACCTTTCCTTGTCTTTCTGAGCAGACTAGTACCTCCGTATAATGATGAATAGAAGCATTGGTAGTGGGCACCCTCATCCCCACAAAGTTCCTGATATTCCCTATTCTGTCCTAACTACTCCCTAACACCTGAAACCTCATCAGTGAAATCACTGGTATCCACAACCTCTTCTAAATGCCCCCTTCACTCTTGTGCTCACAGAAACCTGACTGTCCCCTGATGACACTGTTTTCCCTGCAACCTCTCAAGTCATGGCCATGTTTTCTGCCAGTGCCCTTGTGCCACTGGGCTTGGAGACCTAGCTGGTTTCCTCCCTTGCTCCTCATTGCTACTTTCTGTGCATTCTCCTTTCTCCTCCCTAACCCCTCCAGTTCTGAATCGCCTGTCATCAGATTATGTCACCCACTATCCCACTCTGTGACTGTCATCTGTTAGTGCCACGGCCATGTCCCTTTATTTCATGACAAATGTGTCTTCTGGTTTACTCTGTTATTCTCAAAACTATTCCATTCTTAATTCTGGTCAATTTCAATATACATGTGGATTATCCTTCCAAATATGCTGGCTTCTTAATGATTTGAGTTTCTCTTCCAAAGATCTTGTCTGCTGCCCTACTTAAACCACTCACTCCCATGGTAATGGCCTAGTCTTGTCAACAAAAAATATAACCCCTCCATACTCTCAGGGTCATCCAGGTCACTCTCTGACCACGCCCACCATCTGTTCAGCCCCTCCAGTTCTCCCTCCATCTTTAATAATCCTTCACCCTCACTTGGACCTTCAAATCAGGTGACCCTACCATCTCTTTCCTGCTGCTTTCTCTTCCCTCTTTACCCAGCTTAAGTTCCCTGCCCATTTATTGGTATATGCTGGGTTCTCACCTTAGATACCAGGGGCAGGGAAAGGAGACGTTAAGGAGAAAAAAACTTTACAAAAAACCTCAGAGAGCTAAAACCAAGGTGGCAATATCTGAATATTTTTTTAAATATTGTTTTAAGTGAGAATAAGTATTCCCTAACAGGTTTCCGGTGTTCTTAAATATCTCTCTCACTACTCTTTTAAAACAATTAAAATCAGGGTTAAATTTTTTTTAGTGTTTTTATTAGATTTTTTAGAGAAAGAGGAAGGGAGAGACAGAAGCATTGATGTGACAGAGAAACATCAATAGGCTGCCTCCTGCACGCCTCCTACTGGGGATCAAGCTGGAAACCAGGGCATGTGCCCTGACCAGGAATCGAACCTGGACCTCTCAGTCCATGGGACGACGCTCAATCCACTTAGCGTCAAAATTAGGGTTAAATTTTAATGTATAACACTAAATACACAGATGCTCTCTTACCTAACCTCTACCTTTTCAGCTTGCAGAATGCATTCCTCTCCCTTTGTAGAGCACACTGGAGCCCATGACCCTCGAATAGGTGAGGCCTACAGGCTTTAGATCACGCCCACCTGTACTTCAGTGCGCCTCAGGTGAGCTACAGGACTACCACTGGTCACTTGAGCTTGTTCCCAGACTTGCTTGTGCTGGATTTATAATTACATATGAGTATTTAAACAGTGCAATATAAATGTGAATAGAAAGCATTTTGATTTTCTATGAAAAATACACTGAATACTTTGGGAAGATCTGATAAAGAAGCACTGAACAAATTGCTATTTAATTAGGTGTAGCAGAAGCAACTGTGAAAGTCTGGGTAAGAATACAAAAGAATCTGCCCTGTATTCCTTTCCAATTGCTTTTAAGTTCTTGTTCCACTGTTAAAGAAACCAAAACTCTATTTTATGTGTGGTTCATATAAGAAAGATGATAAATGGCCCCAAATTCAAAGAAAAGGCCTTGGCCCTACATCTAAAGAATGATAAATGAATATTAATATATTTTAAGTAATAAAAAAATGTTTAGGATAAGAACTTACCATTTTTATGTCTTGATTTTTAAATTAATCAACATCATTCCCAATTGTTTGCATAGATAAAGGGCTTCTACTATAGTTTACAAAGTACCGTCATACATGATCTCATCTGCATCTCGTGATAACTCTGTGAGAGACACCCCTACTTTATAGACAAGGAAAGTGAGGCCCAGGGAAGGGAGATAAGGTGGCTTATCTTGAGTTGCATGACTTACAAGTGAAGCTTTACTTCCCGAGTACTATCTCGGCCTGCTGGAGACCACAGCACTTTGGATTCTCCCCCATTTGAACAGCAATAATGGCATTAACAACAATAACAGTGGACTTTTAAAGAGCACTGAACATGTTCTAGACATTGCGCTAAGCACTCTATACATATCTCATATATTTTCACCCAAATCCCAAGATCTAGGAACTATTACCTCAACATTTGTACAGATACTAAAACCCAGGCTCAGAGAAGTAAAGGAACTTATACAAATAGGGAAGCCATATTTTGACTCTAGGCACTTCCCAACTGTGTGCTCCTGACCACTGAACCACACTTCCTTTCACTTTACAGCAGGACTCCACAGATTCTGGGTAAATACTGTCCTTGCTCCGAGGCTGGTCAAGCTCTGAAGAGCAGTGATGGCCACCAGACAGATTAAAGTTTAGGGTGGATGTTTTCTATGCAGGAGAATCCCCTTCCATATGCTGCCTACACGGCCTACCTAGTGAGGATGGGGGCTCCTGAATCTATACAGTACCTGAACCTCAGAGGGAAGGTAAGCAAGAAGACTGGGATGTCCAACACCTCAAGTGCAGGCTCCAAATCACTAACCTTGTAAATGTTTTGTAAGACAAGGTGCATTTTATCAGGGTGAACAGCAGAGAGCACAAATATCAACATGACAACATCCACAGACTCTGGGGGCATGTGTTCCAGAAGGTCATCTTTAGTTAGATCGCATTGGAATACCTTGCATCTCTCTGTGTCATATAAAGGATTTTGCTAAAGAGGGAAAAAACATAAAAGACTTTAAATGCAACATCCATATTACACAAAGAGATGAATACAACCTCAAAGGGAGATCCTATTTCTACTGTGCACTACTGCACAGAAATCACTGATCATTTTGCTGTGGATGAAACTGATAATGTATCATTTGCACATTAAAACATGTAGTATTCAATACTGCTATGAGGGGCATGATTTCATTTAAACAAATCATTTTTAGTTGAGGTGAGAACACAGTCTATCATATATTCAAATCTGAGCATTTTAAAAGCATATACTTCCAAAGGGATAATAATCCAGAACTGGCCTCTGCTTCCTTAATCCTCCTTTGAATCACCTGCTACAAACTAAATCCTACAAGAAGTCCTTCCAGTTCCCCTTACTGAGATGCTCCCACAGTTCTTCTGGGGATATTTTCCCTTGCGGCAGCAAGCTAAGTAAACCTAACTTCTTTTTACTACAAGTGTGTTCCTGGTACATTTTAGTTGGTGGGTTTCAACACATGTATAAGCACATTATAAAGAAAAATATTAAATTTTTCTTTAATGTAGTAAGGTCCTGAATAAATAGAGACATACAAAGTTACTGGATGAATACCCATTCTACCTATCATTCCACTTACAAATCCAGTGCAATCTCAAATGAATCCTAGAAAATGTCTAGAAACTTGACAAGGTAAATCTAATCTGGAAGCGAAAATCTTTTGGACTAGCCACTCACTTTTTAAGAATTTTTTAATTTATTTTTTATCCTCACCCAAGGACATTTTTTCCATTTTTTGTTCAGATTGAGTGGAAGGGAGGGAGGGAGAAGGGAGAAAGAGAGAGAGAGAAACATCGATGTGAAAGGGACACATCGAGTGGTTGCCACCCACACGACTCAACCAGGGCCGGAGATAAACTGCAACCGAGGTATGTGCCCTTAGCGGGAACCGAACCCGGGTCTCTCTGGACCGCAGGCTGATGCTCTAACTGCTGAGCCAAACCGGCCAGGGCAAGAATAGCCAGTCACTTTTTAAGAGAAGGAGAAGGTACACTACTGAACATCAAACCCTTACGAAGTGTAGCACTAACATAATATGGTTTAAGAATGGGAACAAATACACGCCAAGAAAGAACAGTCCCAAAACAGACCCGTGTATATGGAGAAATTTAGTACTTTTGATAATAAAGGTGACAATTATCAGGAAGGTAAAATTGATTTTTCATTCAACTTATTGTGTTTGGACAACTAACAATCAATTTTTATTAAAAGACTACTGGCTACTCAGATGAATGAAAGGACTTAGTTTTAGCTCTGGGATGTGCAGAGGAGGAAAGATGTAGCTCCCATCCTTATAATAGGAAAAGAGCTGGACAGAAAGCAGAGTAATGATTTTTTTTGTGAACCCATCAAAGAACAGAGGTCAAAGAACAACCATCCTGCCCTGGCCGGTTTGGCTCAGCGGTTGGAGCGTCGGCCTGCGGTCCAGAGAGACCCGGGTTCGGTTCCCGCTAAGGGCACATACCTCGGTTGCAGTTTGTCCCCAGCCCTGGTTGGTTGTGTGGGTGGCAGCCACTCGATGTGTTCCTTCACGCCGATGTTTCTCTCTCTCTCTCTCTTCCTCTCTCTCCCTCCCGCTCTATCTGAACAAAAAATGGAAAAATGTCCTCGGGTGAGGATTAAAAAAAAAAAAAAAAAGAACAACCATCCTTCCCAAAATCTGGAGAGAGAAAGATGCCTTCAGGGAAAGATAGGACCCAAGCACTGGTTTACCTGAGGCAGAAATCTGAGAAACTGCTGGAGACTGAATGTGGATGTTACAGTGTGAAGCTCCCGGGGGCTGAAACCATAGGAATAGTTCCCACCCTTTAGCTGGGGTTTCTGCCAGAAACATCACCAGGCTCTCAGAGATGACCATAGTCTTCCTGGTGCCAAACTCTTTCATCTCCTTAAAGAAAGAAAAATTTGATTTGCTGGGGACAGGTGATCTGAGGCCTGCAGCCTTGGGGCACTGGTGGAATACCAATGCCACGAGGGGAAGGGAACTTACTCTGCCCAGACCTTGTCTTAATCTGCAGGGAGAATGGCCTCAAGACCATAGAGGGCCACACTGGTGTATACCTCCCATAGCTGGCGGAGGATGGGAAAGAAAAGCTCTATTCCTGGAAGCAGAAAGCCACACCCCTGAGACACAGACCAAGTATGTAGTTCAAAACTGAGAATTAGAACATTAGGGAAGAGTCCTTCTCTCAAACCCTACCAACAAGTCTCCCATAATAATGAACAGTGGATGACTGCAGCTGGAATAGCCACAAGAGACAGGATCTTCATAGGGAACAACGCAAAGGGAAAACCCAAGGCCAAGAAGAGTCACCAGAGGAGTTTGAAGTCTGTGGTGCCCATAGCAACAATAAACTTCACAGGTAACTATAGGAACAGACATCAAACACAGCCCAACTTCTGTCTAGATTATTACAAATCCTTGTTACCTCAGTATCCACTGTCCTCTATAACATATCTAGCTCTCAAGAAAAAAGTTCAAGGCATACCAAAACACAAGAAAAAAGAAACAGTCTGAAGAGACAAAGCAATCATCAGAACCAGACTCAAACATGACACAGACGTTGGAACCGAAAGTTTGGGCATTTGAAATAACTATGATGAATACACTAAAGGCTCTACTGAAAAGGTGGGATGACGTGAAAGATCAGATAGGTAATTTAAGCAGAGAGAGAGAATAAAAAAGGAATCAACTGAAAATGCTGAAAACCAAAAATGTAGTTAACAGAAAGAATGTACCTGACAGGCTCATCAATAGGAATGCCTATTGCCTAGTGAGCTTGATGATGGGATGATGGGATAATAGAAATTATACAAACTGAAAATACAAAGAAGAAATAGTTAAAAAAAATCAGCACCCAAGAGCTGTGGTACAATAGCAATAACATACATGTAATTGGAATCCTAGAAGGAGAAGAGAGAGCAGAGCTGAAGAAGTATTTGAAGAAATAATGATCAAAATTTTTTCAGATTAATTAGAAAACAAAATAACCAAAATTATAAAAAGAATACATAGGTGATGCCCTGGCCAGTTTTGCTCACTCAGTGGTTAGAGTGCTGGCCCATTGACCGAAGGGTTACAGGTTCAATTCCCAGTCAAAGGCGCATATCTGGGTTGCAGTTCGATCTCCGGCCCTGGTCAGGGTCATGTGGGAGGCAGCCAATCGGTGTGTCTCTCTTACATTAATGTTTCTCTCCCACTCCCTCCCTCCCATTCTATCTAGAAAGGCAATGGAAAAATATCCCTGGGTGAGGATTAACAACAAAAGAGGAATACTATGCAGCTGTAAGAAAAAAAGATCTCTTACCGTTTGAGATGACATGGAGGGACCTGCAGAGTATTATGTTAAGTGAAATAAACCAGTCAGAGAAAGGCAAGTACTACATAATCTCACTTATTTATGGAATATTAATGAACAAAATAAGCTGATGATCCAAATAGATCCAGAGACATGGAAGTAGGGTACAGACTGACAAACCTCTGAGGGAAGGAAGATGGGGAGGGGGGGCAAGAAGAGATAAACCAAAGAACTCATACGTATATATGCATAACCAATGGACACAGACAATAGTGTGGGGAAGGCAGGAGGGGAGTGGGAGTGGGGATGAGGGGATCAATGGAGGAAAAAAGGGGGGATATCTGTAATACTTTCAACAATAAAGATCAAAAAAGAGAACCTCAAGCCCTGGCCAGTTTGGCTCAGCGGTTAGAGCGTCGGCCTGCGGTCCGGAGAGACCCGGGTTCGGTTCCTGCTAAGGGCACGTACTTCGGTTGCAGTTTGTCCCTGGCCCTGGTTGGTCGTGCGGGTAGCAGCCACTCGATGTGTCCCTTTCACGTCGATGTTTCTCTCTCTCTTCCTCTCTCTCCCTCCCACTCTATCTGTACAAAAAATGGAAAAATGTCCTCGGGTGAGGATAAAAAAAATAAAATAAAATAAATTAAAAAAAGAACCTCGAAATCCCTAAATAAGACATAATACCTTAGCATCTCAAAAGGAACAGATTAATCAATTTGACTAATTTCAATACCATAAAACAACACTGAATATACGAGAAGAAATGTTTCCAACACATACAACAATATATCCAGAATATATACTAAAAACAAGAATGAAAATGACAGAAAAACGGGCAAAGGTTATCAACGAATAATTCATACTATAGGCTCTACATGAGTTGGGGTTATTTTTGTCCATTTTGTTCACTACTTAATCCCAATACTCAGAACAGTGACTGGCACACATTAGGCTCTTGATAATTATATGTAAATTACAAGAACTCATAAACAAAAATAAAAAACTAACGTTTATCTACATTATATAAAGATTTCAACATCACTAATTATAAAGAATAAACAAATTAAAATATGGAGACATAATATTGTGCCCATAAGATTGGGAGATATAAAAAAGACTGATGTCACCCTGGCCCATTTGGCTCAGTGGTTAGAGCACTGGCCTGAGGACCAAAGGGTCACAGGTTCAATTCCCAGTCAAGGGCATGTACCTGGGTTGGAGGTTCAATTCCCAACCCTGTCAGGGTTGTGGAGGCAACCAATCGATGTGTTTCTCTCACATTGATGTTTCTCTCTCCCCCTCTCCCTTGTTCCCTTACACTCTACCTAAAAAAAATCAATGGAAAAATATCTTCAGGTGAGAAGTAACCAAAAAAAAAAAAAGACTGACATCAAGTACTGAGGACATAGAGAAAAAGGTATCCTTATATTATTGGTGAAATTATAAATTGCTATTAAGTTTCTGGAAGGAAACTTGGCATTATCTATTAACATTTAAATGTATATACTCTTTCTTCCATTATTCATCATAGAAAAATGTGTACATGTGTTTCAGGAGCATATGCACAATGCTGATTACATCAACCCTATTAATAAGAGCAGAAAATTAGAAACAATTTAAACAAGTATCAACAGAGTAATTGTTAAAGTATGGCATATCCATTCTATGGAATACTACAACAGGTAAATAAAATGTAGCAGACCTTGGGAGTTGGAGGATGGGTAAAATGGTGAGGGGACTATAAGAAGTATAACTTGGCAGTTACAGAAAAATCATCAGGATATAAAGTACAGCATAGGGAATATAGTCAATAATATCCTGATAACTATGAATAAAGTTAGATGAGCACTAGATTTATTGGGATGATCACTTCATAACATATATAAATATCTAGTCACCAGGTTGTACATTAATTGTAATTGAAAAGGAAAAAATGTTTTAAAATGTGGTAGAAATATATGTATTAAGATGAAAAACTCTGCAAGATATAATGTAGAATAACAAAAGCAAGTTACAGTACAATGTGATATCACCATTAAACAAAAAGTCTAATGAATGCTAATTCTGTGAAAGGCTGATGGAAAACTAGATTATCTGCATGTTCCCCAAATATCTACCACATATTTGCTAAAGGCAAAAGGGAGATATTTGTTCAACGAAGGAATATGGTAGTTACTACCTTAACTCAGTGATCAAAGCTAGCATCACTTTTAGTAAGATTATCAGACATTATTGCCTCCTGACAGGGTACAATATGAAAGATACATCATCACCTATTATTTTTGCCAAAAGTAATTTACCTGTTTTAAATCTAACTTCTAGTTTACAGCAAAATTAGGGGAAAGAGGAACAAGTTAAACAATGATACAAAAAAACATTTTGGAATGTGAGCCCTCATTACAGAAAATGGCTTGTTCTCCAAAAACTGGTCAGTGTGAAGGGCAGGAATGTTTCAGCTAAAGACATTTAAGGTATATAATGAATATAAGATGTAGTCCTTGATTAAATGTTGCTATAAAAGATACCCGGGACTATTTGGGGAAATCCAAATCTGAACTGGGTATTAATAACACTAAGAAATTACAGTTATTTTTGTTAGATATGTGTAGAGAAAATCCTTATTGAAGATATATGCAAAAATGTTTATCAGTGAAATGTTTGTAATTTACTTTAAAACAGTTCAGCAAAAAAATTTAAAAAGTCTATAAAGCAAATGCAGTAAAATGCTGGTAATCATTAAATTTAGTATAAGTATATGGGTGTCATTATGGTATTTCTTTCTACTTTTCTAAATAAAGCTGTCTTTCTATATATATATTATACATGTATGTGAATGGAAAACTACATTTATGATGATCATAGCTAGTGAACTTCAGGGAGAGCACTGAAATTGGGCAAATGGGGTATAAAGGGTAGGTTAAATAAATCTAAAAAAATAGAAACATAATACACGGATAGTGCACCAACCTTGACATATTCAACTGCTCTTGGAGAAAAATCACAGGCATAAGCAAATATATTCAGATCTTCTTCTAAAAGTGGGAATAAACAGTTCCCAACCCCACAGCCAGCTTCAAGCACAGTCAATTTTTGATCTTCAAACTGAGGAAAGAGAATCCGAAGTTAGAATACACTACGTTTGCATAATGAAAAAATAGACCAAACTAAAAGGTCCAGACCATGAAAGACAAGGTCTTTCCCAGGGGCAATAAATAAGCAAACTGATAGCCAAAAGCTAATACTGACATCTCAACTTGTCCAACACTGGGCAGTTTGGTGCAGAGAAAACACAGCATAGTGGCTAAGAGAACAGGCTCTGGGGCTAAAATGCTTGCACTCAATTCAGACTCCTTCCCTCACCCGTTTTCTATCATTGAACAAAGCAGTTAAACAGTTTTGTGCCTCAATTTCATCAGTAAGTAGGGTGAAAACTAATGCCTACTTCAAAGTGCTATTACAAGGCTTAAATTACAGATGTAAAGTTCTAGAAAAGGACCATGGTCAAATGTTCATCATCATCATCATCATCGTCATCATAAATCTGTCACTAAAGTTCTTCAGTGTGAATTTAATAGTCACAACTTTCAAATTAGCTGTAAAAAACCAGAAACGCCCACTGAAGTTCTCTCTCCTATGTATTATACAACCCAGGAACAGCTACAACTACCTGAGACCAGTGTATTTCTCTCTAAGATATACATTCTGACAAGCTTCTCTACCTCACTTCCATAAAAATGCAATAGAACACTCTTCTTCTACACATTTTAAATGAAGAACAACAGCTCAGCCCCGGCCGGTGTCATTCAGTTGGTTGGAGCATCATCCACATACAGTGAAAGGTGGTGGGTTCAATTCCCCGTCAGGGCATATACCCAGGTAGCAGGTTCAGTCCCTGGTCAGGGCACATTCAGGAGGCAACCAATCGATGTCTCTCTGTCTCCTACTCTCTCTCTCCCTTCCTCTCTCTAAAATCAATTGAAAAATAATTTTAAATAAATGAAGAACAGTTCAAATAAGGTGTAACATTACCTCCCTACATGATCTGAGTTCCTCAAACTCCCTGGTGGTCCAGTGTCTATCTTTGAAGAAATTAGTACTATTTCTTTTGTAAAAAAGATCCCAGTTCTTCTGAGCCTCTTTTTCCAGTTTTTGTTGTTTAAAATCAGACACTAAATCTTGGTCTCTTTTCAGTTTCTCCTCTTCTTCAGAGCTGAGAATCCTTGCTTGCAGCCCCTTCCTTTGCAAAGATGCCATCTCATAAATTGATGGTAATATATTTAATACTGCTGAAGGCTCTCCATCCCTGAATAATTTGAGGAATCCAAGCTTACTCTGCAGACACAGGCAGGGTTTTTCTCAGATGTGGTCCCGCAGGTTGGGTTCAAAGCTCAGGCGACATTTCCTACTTTGCAGGAAAAAGAATAAGATTCTGGTTAGTGGTTCTAGAACAGTTTCTTAAGAGTCTGAGTTAATGGTTCTAGAACAGATCTTTCACCAAACAGTTCAATTCACCGAACATTTACAAGTGCTGACTCTTCACAAAACCCTGCCTACTACAGAGGAGAGGTCACAAAGAAGCGCAAGACAAAGTCCCTATCATCAGAGGGCTTATATTTAGTGGCCCAGGGCTCTCACGCACAGAACTGTAAATCAAACCACAATAAGTCATCTATTAAAATAAATCGGTTTGGTTTAGAAAAAGGACACTCCTAAAGACTGATTGAGAAACCCTGGGGAGAAAATACTCATTAATTTTCGGGGTGACTTAATTGAAGGGGTGACTTAACAACAACAGCAACAGCTGCCCGGATAGGATGCGGGTGGTCAATTACCAGTCAGAAGTGGGGTCATCGTTTCCCAAGGATCGGAGAATCAGTTTTTTCCGGGGAGACAGAACTACGCCCAGGCGGCCTGAGTCTCTTATCGCACTCACAAGAAGGTCACTGACAACCAGGGGCTCAGAGGCCGCCAACGACTGGAAGGGGAGGAAGAGACCGAGTGACGCGTGGCGCAGGGCTCCGAGGACTCATCGGTCTCGGGAGACTCGGGATAAAGCAGGCCGACCGGCCCCCAGCGCCTGCGGCGAGCCGGTCACACTGGCGGTCAGGCCCGCGTGAGCCCAGCCCGCCGCGCTCGGGCTCCCCGTCATCAGTCCCTAGCTTCCCTTGGAGGGGCAGGGCCGGGCGCATTCAGCCCTCACCAGGCCCTGGTCTTGGAAGCCGAATTCGGGAGCCGCGGGGAAAACCCCTGAGCTTACCCAAACCAGCGCCGAGGACGGCAGAATCCCGGCGGAATTCTATCACCATGGCCCCGCCTCCGCCACTTCCGCTGCGAACCCAGAAGTGCCTCACCGACGCCGGAAGTCCCGTGGCCTTGTTTCCGCAGAGGCTTCCCCCACCCCGACGCGGAGGAGACTTGCTTCCGGCTCCGGGTGGGCGCCGGTTGGATTCCCGGTGCGCTCCGGAGCGGTGTCCCGGGAGCACCGCTCTCCCGGACGCCGGCGCCGGAAGCTCGTACGGTGGCCGCGCCGGAAGAGCGCCGGTCCGGGCGCGAGGCCCGTGCGGGGCCATGAACGGGACCGCGAACCCGCTGCTGGACCGCGAGGAGCACTGCCTGCGGCTCGGGGAGAGCTTCGAAAAGCGACCGCGAGCCTCCTTCCACACCATTCGCTGTAAGTCGGCGCTCCCCGCGGTTCCTCCCGGCCGCCCCAGCCGCCTCTTGCCACCCTCGGCCCCCCAAAGTCCGGGGAACCCCCTGCCTTCGTCAGCCCCCTTCTCTCTCACCCCACATTCTCCAGGATCTCGATATTTAACGTCCCCCGCCCCAGCTCACTCTTCCCAAACCAAACCCTTCGTCACTCCCAACTATCCTCCTGCCTCATGGCCCCAAACATTCTTCCGAAGTGCACTGGCCCCCTTTTCTCTTCATCGCCCCAGCCAGCCCCTCTTTATGCCAAACCTGTCCCCGGCTTGTTACCGAAAGACTGACCCCAGATCGGACTCCAGTTCTTCCTCCAACCCACCCCCCTTTCTAATCACCCCATCAGCGTTCTCCACGTTTAAAGGAGAACGCTGTTTGCTCGTGAGCCCCATCCACTCCCCCCTGTTTCATTCTCTCTTTCCCCAATGTCCTCAGCTTTCTCTCCTCCGCCTTCCTTGCTCTGGGCGCCCTGCGCCTCATTCCCTCTTGCAGCCAAAGCACCCGCATCCTCTCGCTCCCTATCAGAGTCCTGCTCCTCCAGCTTTCCACACCTCCTTCGACTTGGATGTCTTTTGAGGTCACTGATACTACCCTGATTTTCACTCAGGACCAAGTCCCTTGTAGGTGAAGAATAAAATTGGAATGCGTGAGCCTGGAATACATTAAAGCGTGATCTATGCTTGGAAGCTGAAGAGAGCAGGCATAAAGAATGTGGAAATAGTCATAATGCTAGACCATCCTTTCTGCATGATTACAGACTCTGTTAAGGGAGGGCACTCCCACTCTTTTCTGTGTCCTGGGTAAAGATTTGGCTTTTAGTAATTGGCTGACTGAGTGAGCATCCCTCTATGATTCACAAGCTCCTGGTTTCCTGTCTTGGTGGTGCTGATGCTGGTTAAAACCTGTTTTTGTCAAAGGAGCTAATAGATGTGACTCAACACACGGGAAGAGGGTGTGTTAGATAATGAAGTTCCATCTTTGTGTGGTCACTTGCCATGCCATTACAATGCTAACCACTGACACAGGTCAGCCCTTTCAGAGGGAGAGTATTGGGAATATGATAAGACCATCATTTCTTGAGCAGTTTACTAAGTTGATGTTTTAGTAGAGTGAAGAGCAGTGTGAAATCTAAATGAGACACTTCACTGTACCTGGCCTACAGTTTGAGGCAGGTGTGTGTTAAAATGGAGTAAGATGGTTATTCATGTTGTACTTGAATTGCAGTTCAGAAACACGGGCAGGATTAACCTTTAGAGATCAAGTTCAGCTGTCTACTCCAAACATCTACAGGAATATCTGTTAATGCTATGGAACTTGAGTGTGGCAAATCATAAATTTGGCAGTAGCCTTTCATATTTCATATAGCGTTTTACAATCACAGAATCTTATTAATATGTTGTTGCTTTTGTGTGTGTGTGTGTGTGTGTGTTGTTGCTTTTGATCCTCATAACAATCCTAACAAAGCACTTTATAATGGATAATAAGCATTAATTGTCATTTGTCACTGGGGAGAAAGGAACATCTTTGCTTAATAAAAGGGTATGTAAATTCTAGCTCCTTTTTTTCTTCAAATAATCCAGTTGGGGTGAGAGGAAAAGTATGTAGAGACATAGATGAAACAAGATTGTCCCTGAATTGGTAATTAATGAGGCTGGATAATGGTGGTACACAGGGGTTTTTTATACTGTTCTCTTTGCTTTTTGTATATGTGAAGTTTTTCACATTGAAATAATTTTTTTAATATTCTAAATAATTTGTATTTTCTATTGATCTGAATAATAACTCTTAAATGAGAATACTTAGAAAACACTTCGTATAAGTAACCTGGTGGATAAATGCTTTTTTTCCTTTTCTTTCCCTTTAGATGATTTTAAGCCAGCATCTATAGATACCTCCTGTGAAGGGGAGCTTCAGGTTGGCAAAGGAGATGAAGTCACAATTACACTGCCACATATCCCTGTAAGTTTATTTCATTGTTGTTGTTGTTTTAAATCTAGAATCACAATGAATTCTCATATTTTATGTTATTACAATTTGAATTACCTACTGTTTAAAAATCTAATTTCCTAAAGTGCCAGCGTAAGGAAAAAAGGAATTTGGGATATGGGGTGGAGTAGAATGCATACTTCCCAGGTATTTGATTAAAAATGATTCTTGGTCATTTTCCCCAAGCTCCCATTTGCTACAAAGTAGACAGGTACCCTACCTGGCCATCTAGCCCCTCTTTTAGTCATGCATGGCTTTCCCCCAAGCAACTCCACGGAGAAAAGCCATGGGTTCCATGCTCATGTATAGCAACAACAGTTTAGGAGTGTGGGGCTGCCAAGCCAGGAGTTAAGGTGGGCAGGAGCAAGACTTACATCGTTCATGTAATATATCTTGCAGGGGGTGAAGTGTAGGCTGATAGTTTCAGGCAAGAACCAGAGGTTCAGCGCAGTCAGCTAATTGAGTGATGAGGAGCCCAGTTAAAAGCTGAATTGAGAACCCTTACAGAGAGAGGCTTTTGTGAAGCCTTGCCCAAGGCAGCACTGTGCTCACAAAGTCTGAAGGATTAGACAACATACTCTTAGTGAACGTGTGTCATTGCATGTCACAGCCCTGTCCTGGAACACACTTAGTTATTGCTAACCAGTGATAGAATAAAAAGGCTCTGGACAAGGAGACCTTGTAAACTGTGTTTTTGAAAAAGTACCTGTCTGACAGTTCAGACTGCTGTTTCATTACTTAATGCTTTTGGCAGGTTACATCATCTCCCTTTTGACCTTACTTTTTCCCAAATGTAAAATGAAGGGGTTAGATAAATGGTCCCCAAAGTCCTTTTCTACTCTAAATTTGTACTGCATGAGTGAGGAGCTAGTTTTTTATTCTATACAAAGGATTAAATCCTATATTTGGGAAATATTAATAGAGTACCTACTGTGTGCTGGTTCATTACTAGATACTGAGTCTACAGTCTTGAATAAAACAAGCACATTTCTTGCTCTTGTGGAGTTTATGGTATGGAATGTAAATATAAAGGAACATAATGCCTATTTTAGAAAATCAGGGAAGCTTCCCTAAGAAAGTGACCTTTGAGTAGATTTGAAGGTTGAGTAATTATTGCAAGAGAGGGAGGGACAGGTGTTAAAGGCAGAAGCCTTGTTATAGCCCTAGATAAAAAAGATTGAGGATCTCAATGAATGCCAGCTACCTTCTGCTCTGGAGCCTGCATAGCCCAGGGGTGAGTGGTGCTGGTGAGGCTGCAGGACTAGATAGTAGACTTAAAGATTTAATTATCTGACCTCAGAGCAATAGTGTAGTGATCAAAGGGCCTAGGCTGGTGAGTGGCATGAGGTACTCACTCTGAGCAAACCAGAATAATGAGCTGCCCCTTGAGATGCTCTGTTGGTTACATGGCATGAAGGGGAAGCCCTGAACTCCAATTATGGGGAAATATTAGAGATCTCTCATGAGCTTTACTTCTCATAATGAAAGCACTACTCATTGTAATACATACAGGTAATGGTTGATTTATTTTTCTCAGTTCACACTTTACCATTATTTGTAACATTTCCCAAAGCCCTAGAACAATGTACAGTAACTTTTAAATGTACAGTAACTTTCTATATTACCTTTCTTCATCACTTTGAACCCATTGTACAGTCACAGGTTCTTGGTATATTATTATTTCCCTTTTCTTTATTTTGCCTGGGAAACAAGAAGGAGTTCTTTTTGAGTCTATGATAGAAGATTTGATGAGGAGGCGTCACCTGTAAATTAAGTTTTGCTATTCATAACTGGTGTGTTTAATTTTTATCATCTTATACTTTTTTGTGCCAAATAGGGATCCACACCACCAATGACTGTGTTCAAGGGGAACAAACGGCCTTATCAGAAAGACTGTGTGCTTATTATTAATCATGACACTGGTGAATATGTGCTGGAAAAGCTCAGTAGCAGCATTCAGGTCAAGAAAACAAGGTATGTGAATAACCAGATACAGAATGATGAGAATATGCATTTGTATGATCTAGTTGGTTATTTAATAAGATGTGAGCATCTGAGTACTCAGTATCTGTTGATAATCTCAATAACTCCAACTATATCTTCTCAGACAAATCCATAAAATATCTTTTCCTCAAATGTAGTAGAAAGAAATGATTATTTTAAGACCTGAAAAGTGAAAGCTATTGGAGGAAGGGGTGTACTTTACAAGCAAATTGATTTTATTAATCACATGATTTTTGAAACAGTACCACTTAAGGATAAGATTTAAATTTATAGACTTATAATTATGAAAAAATAATTGAATAATATATATTCCTTGTTAGAGTGAATACATTGACTCTTTTATTCCATTTGAGGTCATTATAATACCAAAATAAAACTTTGCCTATTTTTTTGAACTAGTATACTCTCTCTAATATTTAATTCAGTAGGTATTACATGTCTGTTATGAAGCCAACTAGATTTTATTTTAAAGTCAAAACTCATTCTATAAATAGAAGGAACCCAGTGGTTTTATTGTTACATTGTGATATAGCAGTTATTGTAATATAGCAATTATATTTTAAAGAGGGTGTTACAGCCTGATATTTTTCTGTTTATGCTTCCTCAAGCCATTTTCTTCCCTCGTTTCACAAAAAAACTAAAGAGTAGCTGCCAATTATTATTATATGCCAGGAACCATGCTAATTGCTTTATGGATTATCTTTTCTCATCTCTAAGTAACTCTTAGAAAGATTGTTATCCTTAAAAAAACACAAACACACAGATGGAGAGACAGGATGGGTGAGATTGTGGCTTACCTGAGTGCAGTGCCAGTGTGCTGGAGCCCCGTTCCTTTCCTGCTGCTCAGTGTATGTGCATTAATTGCCTCCGCGAACCAGGCGTCGCTGGTACTCCTCCAATAGCTGGTGGTTGTGAGCATTTCTCTTACTACTCGGTGTCATCTGAGGACTAACAGCATTTATCACTTGCATACTTGTTGAAAGTGCAGAATTTCAGCACCTAGTAAGTGAGAATCTGCATTTTAGTGGGATCCCCAGATGATTGTGTGCACACTAAAGTTTGAAAAGTGCTGGACTAGTCCATTTACATAAGAAATTGTTAATGGATAAAATTTTCTCAGTTTGGGGTGTAACGCTTTGCTCGTCTGCCAGCAAGAACTGGTATGTGACCAAAGGAGCAAGCAGTAAATAGATATTGGAAAAATTTGCAACTATTTCAAGAACTAGTTTTATTTAGGAACTCATACACTTGTGATTATCATTTTATATTGTTTACAAGTCAAATATTCATAGTTCCTATTAGTATAGTGAGTTCTCATAACCATATTGTATTCTAATATCTGTTCTATCTGCTTCTTGCTATAAAACAGGAGCTCCTTGAGGGCAGTAAATCTAGTGTATTCACCTCTGTATCTCTGGTGTACAATAGATGGTTGAATGATTAATTTGTGTGATAAAACTATAAATATCAATCTTTTGCAGCAGTCTAAAAAGCATGGAATTCTGTTGAGACTTCCAGGTGGTCAGTCACCTGGAAAAATTTGAGAACCACTGGCTTTGTCCTTCTGGTTTAATGTCTGGATCTCATTTCAGGGCTGAGGGGAGCAGTAAAATCCAGGCCCGAATGGAACAGCAGCCTACTCGTCCCCCACAGCCATCACAGCCCCCACCGCCCCCTCCACCTATGCCATTCAGAGCTCCAACGAAGCCTCCAGTTGGACCCAAAACTTCTCCCTTGAAAGATAACCCCTCACCTGAACCTCAGCTGGATGACATCAAAAGAGGTAGAGTGTATTTTCTAGAGGCATGATAGCCACTTGGAGTAGTATGCTGTTGGTGTTTTTGTGGAGAGCACAAGGCTGCCATATTGACACGATCTCATGGGCATTCTCTGCCATTGAAAATATTCTGCAGAGTTCACCATTCCAGAGGTGATGAGGATGGAGCGTCCCCACTTCTCTTGTTTGCCAATGGGAGCCCAGGCATAGTGACTTGGGTTGTGACTGTCTTTGCAGCATTCTGCCTAAAGGCCCAGGATTTGAACAGGCACGACTGCCATCTAGAGGTCCCTACGGCACACCTCCAAGGCTCTGAGGAAGAAAACTCCCAGGTGCTGGGGGTGAAGACCAAGTGTGCCAATGATGGTATAGTACTAGGTTAGAGGGACATTTAAAATACCATGACCAGTGCTGTGTACTGATCAAGAGTTTATAAATGTGAAGGTGCCGGGAGAGTGGGTAGAAATGGACAGTGGCCTAAAAAAGTGTTAGAAGTCTGGTCAGGCTCTCTCCAATACGTGTCTGAGAGAGAAGCTTCCTTGTCTTCTCTTCTGTGTAACGGATGCTTTTAGTTGTCCAGAAATTATGAAGGTGTCATATTTCATGTTTGTAAATTTTTATGAAAATTAAATCGATAACGGTAGTAAACGGAAACAAAAAGTTGTCCTTTGGAAGTTTGTCTTTTCTACCTTATAGAAGTGCTGTCTTTTAGCAAACAAAATCAATCTTTGCACAGTTGTTGAGCTGCTTGATTTTTTTTCCTCGTGAATATTTGAATGCCATCTGTGGGAGTTTTTACTAGTTTAACAGGAATTGTACCATGAGTGGTTAGTTGTCCCCAATTATACTTAAAGGAACCATAACCATTTAAGTTCATAGGGTGTATTTGGACAGGAAAATGTATTATGTATCCTTAATATATTTAGTGACGTTGAAATGCTGGGGTAAAATGTGTGTTTCCTTCCCTGCTTTACATCTAAAAAACTATGCAGGGCCTGACAGGCGTGGCTGCCAGTCAGATACGTAAGAAGGCAGAGGGGAATGTTGTTCCACCATGTTTCCTCAGTCATCATGGCTCCTCCTGCAAGCTTCCACTTCTTCATGGGACATAAAAACTGGATAGCACCCCCGATGCTGTCTGCTCTGGCCCCTCATTTTTCCAGAATGTCTTGGAAAATTCATTAACTGCCACTTGGGTCTCCCTGCCGGTTAGAGGTAGATCCAAAACAAGCACTCCGACTTTCCAGTTCCTAGTCAAATATTTTTCAGTCCTTAGCATAATATTGCTCTTTTCTTATGTGGTGTTCAGTTCTGTAATTTACAATTTTTTCTTAGTACATAAAGACAAAATAGAATTAATTCATTTCTTACATGGAACAGTCATCCTGAAGCAGTTTGCTTTTTGTTGTTTGGGGTGAATTTAATGTTTCCATTGTCTCTCTGGAGGCAGGGTAGGTGTTTTTGTTTGTTGGTGTTTGTTGGTTTTGGTCATTCTGTTTGTACATTTTTAAGGAATTGAGAAGCAGGAGTTTAAGTGATTCCGCATTGCTGTTGGTTTCGCACTGAGAGTGGTTGCCGTGCTGACCCGTCATGCTGCTTTATTCCAGAGCTGAGGGCCGAAGTCGACATTATCGAGCAGATGAGCAGCAGCAGTGGGAGCAGCTCCTCAGACTCCGAGAGCTCCTCCGGAAGCGACGACGACAGCTCCAGCAGCGGAGGAGAGGACAGTGGCCCCGTGTCTCCTCCGCAGCCCTCACACCAGCAGCCCTACAGCAGCAGGCCGGCCATCGCCAACGGAACCAGCCGACCGCAGGGAAGCAGCCAGCTCATGAACACCCTCAGTGAGTGCGCTTTCCCTTGTCTGCCAGGGGGGTGGCAGTCAGGCCAGAGGTGCAGCGCAGAAGAACTTATAAGCCTGACGACGTTTAAGGTGTATGAAAGGATTCTGACAGATAATTTGGAGCAGAAAGGAATAAATCATCCAACAGTAAAAAAAGAAGCACAAAACTAAAAAATCTTTTCCTCTTGCCTTTTCCTCATTTCCTCACTGGCACAAATTAGGATTTGTGACTTCTGGGAAATGCTGACACGTGACAGGCTTTTTATTTCCACATACACCACACTTTAGGAGTGCTGTCTGCCACATAGTGTGCCCCCTCCAGGTCTCTATACAGTCCAAGGACCCAGTGTCTCCAGGCTGTGCTGGAACCTGTGCTATTGGGTGTATGTGGGGACCAGCTAGCCTCTGGCAACGGAAAGGGATAAGACGTAATGTCTGGGTGGCTTTCAGTGCAGTCAGTACTGAGGTCACGCAGAGGAGAACAAGAACAAATCTGTCTGTTTCAGAGGTGGGAGAGTGCTCTGCGTTCTTCTCTCCAGAACCCTAACGAAGGCGCTCCCCTGGTACGACTTCCTTTGAGGAGGTTGGAAGGTCTGGGGGCAACAGTGGGGAAGTTAACCAAGAGAACTCTACTTCTGTGGACCTGGCAAAGGTAGTTTCCAACCTCCTCACTGTAGATATTTTAGGCCAGGTAAATCTTTATTTGGGGGCCTCCTTTGTATTATGGGATGGTTAAGAGCATCCCTGGCCTCTACCCACTAGATGCCAGAAGCACTCCCCTCTTCTCCCCTAGTTGTGTCAACCAGAAATGTCTCAAGATTTTTTGCCTCTACATGACAAAAGCATCCCCACTAGGGAACCACTGCACTCTTTCTACCCGAGTAAGTTCGGCACTGTTACGAAAGCAGTTAAGGCTCTTGTCTGCCATCCCATTATATGGGCTCAGATTCGGGATATACAGTATACTGTGGTGCTCTCCTCATTGGGCTGGGGATAGTAAGTTTCACGGAGTTTGGTGTTCCTAGTGGAAAAGTACCGGACAGCTACTGTGGCTTTATCATAGTTCTTCTTTATGCCCAGTCAAGGCTAAATTATTCTTTCCTTCTAGAAAGAAGGAGCAGGAAATGGTGCAGTCGGCATCACTGTGGCACTTCCCGGTGCTCTAAACTCCTTTCAGCTCTTTATGTCTCTGAATCCTGTCCCATAGCTCTGCTAATGACAAGACCTTAATTTTTGTATCACTTCGTGTACAATGGAGTTATTTAAACCAGGATCATCAACTGGAACCAACTTATAAACCCTAAAATCACAGTAAATAGCACAAATTTGCTAAATCCTGGTGTAAAAATATTTAAGATACTCAATAATTCACTTGAAAGCACAATAATAAATCATCACATTTAAACAAAACAGTAATTTTTGTGAAAAATATTTTCCAAATCAAAGAATATTTAGTAAGAAAGTAACATTGCTTCAAAAGTTTGCAAATCTCTTTTAACGTTGGCTTAGTAGAAAGATGTGCTTTTGCACTGTCTGTTGCCATTAGCTGTGTAGGTTGAAGTGTATGAAGAAAGTCTGGCCTCATAGCTGTGTAGTTAGAAAAGGGAGGATATCTCAGGGTTGGACCCTCCTGAAAGGGTCTCAGGGACCCCAGGGTCTTCAGAACAAACTTGGAGAAAAGCTGGCTTAAAGATTAGCATTCGGGAAATACAGAAGTTCGCGTTTGTTGTAATCCAATTGGTATCAACTGGGGACCTGTTCTTAGCATAGTAGATGGAAATGTTGAGTACTTACATTCTTCTCCTAAAACCTAAATTCTGCACACCAAACAAAAATGTGCGGCTTTACAAAGCTTATTAGTCTGGTTTCACGTTTAAAGTAACATGAATGTCCTACACAGTGGTGTACCAGAGGGGACATTGGTCTAGCATGTTATAAGTATAAAAATTACTCCGCTTCCTTACTGGGAAGTGTAACTTGGTGTTATTTTAGCTCTTATAAAGCAGTTTAATGTGAAAAACTTTTGACAATGAATCAGTTATTTAGAAATACATGAGCGGACAAAAGTGGGTTTACAGTTGTTTGTATGGAAAATACAATGAATAATAATATAAAACTCTGTTTTGCATACTTACTACTGTAAATCTACTTTTGCCCTCCTGTGTCTTCTTATTTATTAACACATTTAAGAGCTGTCTAGCCTACCCCTCCCCTGTTCTGTCTCAGTCAACAGCATTATTTTGCAGATACCACAATGATCATTTCTTTCAAAATGTTGTTGTACCAGTTTTGTCACAGCCAAATCGATTTTTTTTCCTACTAAATTGAATTGGCTTGGTTTTGCTGTAGTGTGACAGCCAAGGCAGTCAACCCAAGAACTGTGGGAAAGTCATTTTTAAATTGTGTACTTTTTGTTTGATTCTGTTTTCTTTTTATAGGAAATGACTTGCAGTTGAGTGAATCTGGGAGTGACAGTGATGACTAGAGTGGATCTTTTAAAGTCAACTTTCTGGTGCACAGATCGCTACAATACCGGGCTACTTTGCACGGAGGCCACCGGCAAGAGGCAAATATGGATCAGTGACTGTAGTAGGAATTTGAGGCTCTGCAGCTCTCAGATATTCAAGTCTTTAACTTAACGGTGATGGGTGATCTTCTCGTGTCATTTTTGAACAATCTCATGTTTCAAGGTTTAAGTTGATCTATAGAAGAACTAACAATATGTTTCTGTTTGGTTAACATTGTTAATGAAAAACAGGCAAATGTGCCCTGGTCTAGGTTACTGAAAGGCCTTATCTTCACCAGGCCAGTGATTCTGTTTTAAACCCCAGCAGCCACCCGTTTGGCCAAGTGGTCTGCACCAGTGAAGTGAGAAGCAGTCTTTGAGGGGTATAGGTGGGAGGGGGGAACCTCAAACTGCCACATAGAAATATGTTAAAACCACTTGAAATTGTGGAAATAACATGGTAAGGAAGTTTATCTGACCCAGCCTGACAAGCCTGTGTAGAAATGGACTTGAAGGTGGAGTCCTCAAGTGTCCGCTGGGCAGGACCCTGGGCCCTGGCAGTTCAACCTCCTCATTTACAAATAAGAAAAGGGAGGCACACCGCTGGTTTAACCTCCTGCCCCCAGCCCAGGCTTTTGCCACTGCTCCCTCTCTTGAATCTCAGTTATTTGAACCAGATTCTTAGACATGAGACTTACAGACGTGCATAGGAACTTTTATTGGATTCCAAAAAACAAAAGTGTTGGATTCTCGTAGCTCAAATTCAGATCTAGACAGTCCCAAAATACATGAGGCTGGGTTAGCAGAATAAACCAGCAGCCACTGTGCTGACACACATGACCCAGTTAAATTGGGGCTTTTAGTTCCATGTAGATCCAGGCTAAGTGTTCTTCATTCAGTGGGTTTTCGTAGGGGAGGTAGTGGGAGAGAGGTGTAGTGAAGAAACCTTTCTAAGCAAGTGAACCAGCAGCAGGTTTTCCACAACCAGAGTGGAAAGAGGAGTTCTGCAATATGACATGAGCACATTCTTTTGATAAGGTGTGTCTGTTCATGCTTTTGTACCACTGTTTGTGCCTGACTCCCAGACTGATTTGTAGTTTTTATATACAGGTAGAAGAGAGTCACAAGGTTGCCTTCTGCAGTGTGCAGTTTCCAATGAATTTGTTGTTGCAGGAAACTGATCACTAGTAAATGTGTCATATTGAGTGAATGTGTGCTAAATTGTCCCATAATTACTTGGGAGTATCCCATTTCTGTAATTTGAGTGAATGTGTCCTGAGAAACTTCCATCTACTTTGGTTTGGCGGGTATTAGGAACATTAAATAGGATTTTCCTTCCTGGGGTTCCTCCACTCAGATGGCTTCTCCTTCCCCAGCTAGTGGAGGGACACAATCTAGACCTAGAAAGGAATTAGATGATCCAAGGTGGTGGCTTTGGTTAGAGTTGAGCCTTAGGGAGTCACCTGTTTTAACTGCACAGTTACCCCAATGAACTGGAGATGTGGACCAGCAGCCTCTGCAACAGCACGCTCACACGGCTCCACCAGGTGTAGGTAATGGGTTACACTCGTACCGTGGTGGGTTCTTGGCCCATCGGGAGGTGTCAGTGGATTTAATGGCATGTAGGAACTTACTGATAATGAAGTGATAGTTGCTTTATATTTCCTTAGGAATGACAGCTCAGGGAGGGTAAAGGTCATGATTGGGAGACATGAATTGTTACTGGATGTGGGAATGTTTCACTGCTCTTAACTTGCTCAAGCTAGGGCAGGTTTCAGGAACTTGAACTGAAAATATCTATTTAAGCCTTTTTTTCTCTCCCAAAGTCTTCACATACGTAGACAGAACTGTGGTTTTGGTGTGTCGGGTACTGCTGTTTGTTTATAGGAAATGCTTGCATGTGGCACTGGGTTTGGCAAGTCATGTTTATAGGAAATGCTTGCATGTGGCACTGGGTTTGGCAAGTCATGCTGTCTGAGCTTCAGACGCCCGTCATCCATCCTGCCGACACTGCACAGCCATTCTCCCGCGCGGCTCCAGTTCAGTTCTCTGCGCAAAGCCTTTGGTGGTTCCCTTCCCCTGCCCTCCATCTTTACTCACCACAGTAAGGAATCTTTTCTTTTTGGAAATTAAGAATTTCGCTTTCAGGCTACTTCTCACAAGTACCCTCATGCCAGCCAAACTGGTCTTGTTCTTCCTGCCTCTGTGCCTTCTCAGCCTCTCCTCCTCCTGAAACGTCACTCCTGAGGCACCGTCTCCTGCAGGTGCCGTCTTCATGATTCTTCCTCTGCTCTTTCCACCCGGCTGGCGTGCACCGGGTTTGTACCTACTTCTCCTCGCTTGAGCTCTGCTTAGTATGAACTCCTGAGAAGCAGGGACCGTTCTTCTCATCTCCTTTCTCTGGGATGTCCACAGGAATAGACATTCAGATGCTTGTAGCTGGTGGGGAGGAGGCAGAGAGAACCGACCAGTAGAGTAGAGAGGGTAGACAAAACATTCCAGGCATTTGGAGACAGCTAAAAAGTATCCATACTGATTTTCATGATTTTGAAGTTTCTAACTGAATTGATAAAATTATTTTTTCTTTGTTCTGTATGTCTACCATACTGTGGGTCATTAGGTGAGGTGTAAAGACTTCAGTCCGAATTATCTGAGGAGTCAGGGTAAGCCACAGTAAAGACATGATTTGGGAAAACATAATACAAAGAAACTAGAGATTTGTAACAATGCCACTCATTAACCATTTTACTTCTGTAGCAGGATCATTCTTTCTGTGTGTGGTATTATGTGTATGTGCTTCAGTAGTGGGAAAACTTGAAAATTCCAAAATCCTCACTTCCCTATTCAAGAGGCTGGTTAAGTGGGATGTGTGTGGGTGTGTGTATGTGTGATGTATTTATTACACTATTTTGAAAGAGTAATACTATGTTATGTGGATATATATTAGGTACAGCCAAATTGGATGTTTCCGTTTGGCAAGGAAGGTAGGATTTCCGAAACTCAGGCCTTAACCAGTAGGTTGGAAGACAAGACCAATTGAAGCTTTATGAAATATGTGTATTTGTTGCTTCTGTTATTTCTGTCTTGGGTTCATTGTCTCATTCTTTAATGATTTTTAAAATTTAGTGCTTAAAAGTTTATTTTGCTTAATTATGAAGTAGACGTGCATGTTTACATTTATGTAAAATATTTGCTGTGTAAAGTTTTTTGTTTATTCTCTTAAAAGATCACTATATATTTAAGTAAAAATGAAGGTCAGCAATACAATTCCTGTCTTGGTGGGTTTTATTTTCTTAACTAGAAATCATGAAAAATGTAGGGTTCTTTTCTTTTAATTCTCACTTGATATTTTTTTCCATTTATCTTCAGACAGAGTGGAAGGGATGGGGGAGGGGAGAGAGAGAGAAAAAAAACATTGATGTGAGAGGTACACATTGATTGGTTGCCTCCTGCACAACCCTGACCAGGGCCAGCGATGAACCGCAACTGAGGCATGTGCCCTTGACCAGAATCAAACCCGAGACTCTGGTCTGTGGGCTGTTGCTCTTAACTGCTAAGCCAAACCAAGGCAAAAAAAAAAAATGCAGGGTTCTTGTAAGACTCTTGTGCTTAACCCTGATTGTCTAAATTGATTCCTTGGGTAGGTGTTAGGATGTTCACCTTGGTTTTAAAAGGTCTGTAAGTTCAGACCTAAAGGCTGACATTAGTAATCCACATGGCACCTGAGGCCATTTCGCTTGGTCTGGAAAGGCAGGCGTAGCTTTGGGTCCGAGCACCACGTGAGGGTGAAACTGAATTTCCACCAAATTCCTTAACCTGGAATTGACACTTGATGACCGGAAATAACCCTGCTCCCTGCTTCCATTCCACACTTGTGATCAACAATGCCCACATCTGTCTTGTGGGGTTGGCTTCCCTGATAGACTGCAAACTCCTAGGTGGGCCATGACCATATTCCTTTTGAATTCTGTGGTGTCTTTTACCTAATGGGTACTCAGTAATTTGGATTGAATACAATTACACATCAAGAGATCTAGGCCAGGAATCCTCTGCTACTTATTCAGATGGCTTCCATTTCCTCAGGTGGAAATCGGAGTTAGACTTGAACCACGTCTCACTGGGGAAGTGATGGTGTACATTCATCACCCAAGAGTTTGTTGCTCAGTTAACTGTTGCCACTGTAGTGACAGGTAACAAACCATCCCAAAACTCAATGACTTAACACAATACGCATTGATGTTGCTCACAAGTCTGGATTGGCAATTTAGACTGGACCTGGCTAGACAGTTCTGGTCTTGATTGGGCTCCTCCCTGTGCCTGGCAGTTGACAAGTTCAGCTGATCTTAGATGGCCTTGGCCAGCACAGCTAGGGCAAGTCAGGCAGGTTGGTTCCATGTGTCTTATCCTCTAGAATCCTAGCCTGGGCATATTGTCATGGCAAAGGGTGCTAGAGGGAGAGGAAGCAACTACCTCTGTCACAATTAGTAACTTGGAATTGGCCAAAGCAAGTCACAGAGCCAAGTTCAGAGTCAAGGGATGGGAAAATACACTCTGCCAGTTGATGGGAGGAGTTGCAGAGTACATTGGAAAGGTATGGATATAGGGAGGTATGAAAATTAGGGAATTACTGCAGTTAGTCTGCTACCTCCACATACCCCATGTCTCCACCATGGTTGAGGACCCTGGGCCATATAATCACTAAGGAGGCCCCTCCTAGCTCTGGCTTTTCTCCCCCGGTAAACATCCCAATGGGAATGAAGACATTTCTATTCATGGCTCCTGCAGAGGGCACCAAACCCACGCCAGAGGCTTCTCTAGGCTTTGTACTTCCCTCTATTCACTGCATGTAGTTTGTTCTCTCCTCCCCTTTCTATCCTACAGCAGTATTTTGGTTATCTATTGCTAAGTAGCAAACTATCCCAAAACTTAGTGGCTTAAAACAATAACCATTTTATCTTATGGAATCTGTTGGTTAGTAATTAGAACAGAACTTGGCTAGGCAGTTCTGCTCTTTGTGGCTTCAACTGAGGTCACTCAGCGGTACTCAGTTGGCAGGTGGGCAGGAGACAGGCTGGCCTCACTCACATGTCTGGCACCGTGGCGGAGATGGCCGGAACCAGGCTCACTGGGGACCATCAACCAAAGGGGCTGGCTCTGGCATGGCAGTCAGGAGAGTGGATGTGACGGCTGCCTTCCCTGGAATGAGTGTTCTGAGAAGCGTAGGCCTTTTATGACCTAGCCGGGAAGTCACACAGCATCACCACAGTGATCTATATGTCAGAGCGGTCAAAAGTTCACCTAGATTCAAGAGGAAGGACCATAGACCCCCACCTGACCCCATTTAATGCAAGAGTATTACAAAGTTCCCACCTTTCCTCCCTGTGTTTTTGGTCTATCTTCTGCAGTTATTATCAGATGAGCTATATCCCTAGAACAGTGATCCCTGGTCCATCACCATCCCCCGGGACCTTGTTAGAAATGTAACTTCTCTTGCCCTGGCCAGTTTGGCTCAGTGGTTAGAGCGTCAACCTGCGGTCCCGAGAGGCCCGGGTTCGGTTCCCGCTAAGGGCGCGTACCTTGGTTGCAGTTTGTCCCCGGCCCTGGTCAGTCGTGCGGGTGGCAGCCACTCGATGTGTCCCTTTCACATCGATGTTTCTCTCTCTCTCTCTCTCTCTCTCTCTCCTCTCTGTTCCTGTCTCTCCCTCCCACTCCACCAGAACAAAAAAGGAAAAATGTCCTCGGGTGAGGATAAAAAAAAAAAAAAAGAAATGTAACTTCTCAAGCCCCACCCAGACCTGCTGAATCAGAAACTACAGTGGGACCCAGTCAAGTTTTAACAAGCTCTTCAGGTCATTCTGATGAACCCTGAGAACTGCTGCTTCAGGACAAAAATCCCTTGGTGAGCCTCAAGAGATGACCCATGACCATGATGGCTGAGTTCAACTTCTCATCTAGGAGGTAGACTGAGCATTAGCTGGGGCAGGGTGTGCAGTCAAGTGTGATACTGTTCATGGGTTGGAACATCAAAGCCAAGAAAATGCATCATTGACCTTGAAGAAATTACAGGGGCCCAAATAACCACAAATGAAATTCACTTGAGATACTAGTGTTTCTGTGACAGAATTTCAGTGTTACATGGGCCCATGTTCATTTCTACAAAGGGAGTGGAACAAGAGGGAACAGAGGGCAGGGAAACAGCCAATTTCTTCCTTAGGAAGGTTGTTTCTTGCAGACTTGTCTGACTGTAAGTCAACTGTATGGGGCTGAAAAGAACTCAGGTGAGCCCCTCTGATAAAGGCAATGTGAGCTCTTTTCCTCTGTTTCTCAGGTTGGATGAGGAGGTGGTGGTGGTGGTAGGGAGTCCTTAACCCTTTACTCGGGTGGTTTGCACCCCTCAGAATGGTTACAAATGAAGATGAGGGAAAATGAAGACACTTCTGGGTAAAGTGTGACAGTCTCGTGAATCGCCAAGGTCCTTGCGCTCACTGTTATCTCACAAATGGAAAATCTGAGTTTCACTGAAAATTTAAATTGGCTCACCGCACTCTAGGGGAGGGATGGGCAGACAACTCCAGTGAAACAGTCACTGGGCCACAGATTGGACCATTCATTATAATGAGGTTTAGAGATTCTTAAGCAATTTGACCCACATGTGCCATGCCCTCCACGCTCCTGTCATGGAGGACCAGTGTGTCTGTCCCGGGATGCTCAGAAATTACCATCTTCCCCAGCACTGGTTTCTAAGTACTAGTTACCAAGCTTCCTTCAAAGACCTTACTTTGCTTACAAAGTTGTCACTCAAACAGCTTTGCAGGTGGATAGAGAAGAGCCCTGGGGCCAAACTCCATCCTCACACGTCCCTGGTTATGGCAGGAGCTTCTGGACTGGCCTAGAGAATCCCAGCCACAGGTGGACGGACCCTCGGGATCGGTGGAGCAGAGCTTGGACGTCTGTTACGGGTGAAAGAGTAAAAATGAACTGGTTCAGACTGAGAGCGTATGGTCAGCCCTGTGCTCTGCCTGCCACTCATCAGACCGCAGGAGCAGACCCTGAAAAGCCAGCTTCAAAGTTAACAGGAAGCAATCTTTCTCCCAAGGTCACTGCTGCTGCTCGGAAGTGTCGTAATCGCTCCTTTATCTGAATGACTATGCTTTCCTTCCGATGACATCCCCAGCCTCCCCGTTACTCCTGCTGCCTGAACAGGAATCACTGAGAAGCTTTGTGACTAACATCACGGGCTGTCAAAACTCGGCCTTCGCCAGGTATCGGTAAGAATGGAACATTCCACTCTTCGCTGGAAGACCTGAGCTGCGTGAGTCACTTTGACAGAGAAGTAGTTTCCATTTCCAGCCTAGATGCAGAATTTCTGATAATGGTTTTCCGGCACAACAGTCCATGTTTGTCTTTATTTTTAAGGAATTTTTTTTGTGTGTGTTTTTTTTTTAATTGAATCAGGGCCTGGGTCCACCTCCCAGTCCAGGCTTGATGTTGACCCCTTTATACACAGCCTGCTTTGCTTGGTGCCTGTCCCAACACTGCTTCCTTTACATCCGACTTACACTCCACCCCTCCCCAGACCCTATCAGAATTGTGTCTGTCTGGGTTTGATGAGTGCCGCATGGCTCCTCCGGTGTTTGGTCTCCCTACTACAGGTCTGTGAACCTGACTTGACAGGTGGTCTGCAAGTTCGCCCCGGTGGTGGTCATCGGACGGCCCGCTGTGCAGCAAGACGAGAACCACTGCTCTCCCACTGCCCGGCAGTCAAGGCTGGGCTCCACACTGCTCTCAAAAGGGAACTCGTAACGAGCTTCAAGGGAAAACCAATACCCCAGGTCCCCAGAGAGGTGGTTGATTCGCCCAAGCCACTAAATAACGACAAAGATAAAATCCAACACTTCCTCAACCATTTCTAGGTGTCGGAAATTGTAACCACATGATTACCAAAATTCAATACAACCCTGAAATAAGGTACTATTATTCCCAGTCTGTTGATGAGAAAACAGAGACTCCAAGAAGTTAAGTAAGTTGTGTAGGACAGTTAAGCAGATTAGTGCCCTCCAAGGTGTGAGTCCAAGGACAGGGATCCACTCAGCCAGGCCCAAGGCAGTATTGGGTCTCGGTCAGTCCAAAATAAGGTCCTAATACAAGGCTGGGGGCGGGGCGGGGCTAACAAGACTGGGCTTTGTAACCTCTGGACCCCAGTTTCCTCCCTGTCCCCAAGGGAGCAGGACTGCTTCCAAACTCTAGACCCTCTGCAGAGTCTGGAAGGAAGACTGAATGCAGACCCTCATTCCATCCAGCAGCAATGCTGGCCACTTCCCAAACCCCCAGAAAAGACAGAGCCACAGTGGGGAAAGGAACTGCCTTTATTTCTCGATTTTGCACCGGAGATCCCAGCACGAGGTGGTGGCTTTACAGGGGAGCAACATCACCCCAGGACTTGCAGTAGAGGCGGAGGAAACCAGGCTGATTGGTGTGTCTACCTGTAATGACACCACCCTTGGGCTGACCCGGTCGACTGCAGCATGGTGGCCTGCTGGCCCAGAAGCTTTTGTCTGCTGAGCTGCCACGACTTAGCCACATGAAATAGCTTTGGACAAAAGCCCAGGAGTGTCCCTGCATCTGGTAACAAATGGACAAATCCTATTCGAGGTCTGCTGTGGGGGAGACATCTTTCCAAAAGAAAACTGAGGCCCACTCAGGAAAGATGGTAATGAAAGGCAGCTCACAGACATGCGGGGCGACAATCCTGTAGACGCGTGGGGTCTCGGGCACACAGACATGAGTACCAGGCTATGCATTACAAAGATGGGGCGGGGGGTCACGGTGCTCACCGAAGTCAGCGGTGGTCAGAAGTTGGAGCTCAGGACAGAAACCGTCTCTGCCTAGAAGCGGTGGGATCCCAGAGGGGGGACCCAGAGCGGGGCTCTCCTCAGCCCTGCCAGGGTGTGGACGGACGCAGGCCGCCCTCTATTCAAGGACCCCCTGAACCGGAAATGGACATGAGGGGCATTGGTGAGATGTAGGTCAAACTGCAGGGAGCACGAGGTCAAGATGGAGCCTGGGGTGGCCAAACCACGAGGGCCTCCCTCTGGGGAACATCAAGGAGGGGAGGCCACAGCTCGCCACTGTCGCACCCGGCGGCCCGCTGAGCCTCGCCCGCCAGGGACAAAGTGTGGGTCTGGGGCTTTCGCAGTATTTCTTCACGGGTGGGTCTCGTTGGGGGAGCTGTGTCCACGAGCCTGCTGGGCTGTGGCTAGTTGAGGGTCTAGGGCTGGGAGCTACCCCGAGAGAACGGGCCCTCTCCCCTACTGTGTGGTTCACAGGCCTGGAGGGACCCCACGGCCGGCTGCCGGTGAGATGCTCGTTTTCCAGAGGTCAGAGGAGCGAAGAGGCCTGTACCCCAGATGCCCCAGACGGGGGCAGAACAAAGAGCCCACAGGTGTACGTTGTCTAACAGTGCTAAGCCAGTCCACAGCCTGGTCGGCAACACTCCGCAGGAAACGGGGCCTGGGGGTCGACTGCTGGCCCCGGCGGATGGGTCAGCCCCAGGCCAGGCGTGTGAGGTCTCCCCGCACTTCGGATTAAGACAGGATGCAGTGGTCCTGAGTTCTTCCAGTCAGACTGAATTAAAAGCACATCTTAGCAGCAAGAGTTTGCCCGTGTTTCTGTTGAATGAAGGTGGTGGAAACCACCAGGCGGGAGCCCGGCCAGGTTAAGAGGGCGGAGCACCGGCTCCCTGCATCCTCAGGTGAAGTAGCGGCAGGGTGTGGAGTCGATGTAGCAGTAGGGGGTGCACTGCAGGTCCCCGTATGACCTGAGGAGGCAGACACAGATCAGGGTGGACACGGGGCAGCGGGAAAAGCCGCGTTCTAAAAGGCCACCTCCGGTGACTTTGGTCAAACATCCAACAGCAGCTGCTGCTGCCCAGGGTCCTGTAGAGACTGTTCTCATTCTCGAGAGGCCAGGGACTCAGGGAAGTGGAGTCCAGGCCTCCGGGGCTTTCCCCCTTGAGCCCAGCTGAGGGATCTGGGAGGAAGGGGTTGGTAGCTTTGCTCTGAACACAGCATCTCTGGGGGAGGGACAGCTCCCGGTTTTCCCTGGAGTGCTGGACAGCTCTGGTTTTGTGAGGATTAGGGGAGCGTGTAGGAGCCTCAGAGGCCACGTTCTGGGCATGGAGCAGAGCCTCACAGGGCCAGAGCCCCCGGCTGGTTCGGGAGGTGCCAGCGCGGGGGCCAGACGCTAGAATACTTGCCCTGAGCGACACACATGCCCACGGGAGAGGCTCAGAAATAGTTATGTCCTTGAAGGACCTAAGTTCCTGGGGTTTTCTTGAAGGAGTCACAAACCAGTAAAATTAGATATTCATGCTAGTATGACTTCACTTGCGCCCACAGGCTGCCCAGGGGCGGGTGTTGTACACAGATGCTTAGGTTCTCTGAAAATCCCTGATACCTCCACCATCCACTGGGCTTCCCACCCCAGCCCACAGCCCTGACGGCTGATGTGGTCGTGGTAGCCACTGGGGCTGGGAACTGCTCATGCAGGGGCGATGAGCTTAGAGACTGCTGACCCCAGCGGCCCAGGACGGAGCTGGTGGCTGTCTGTCCCTCCATGGCCCCTGCAGCACACAGGCTGCTCTGTCGGGGAGGACACCCAGTGGATATGAGTTTGCTGTCTGTCTCCCGGGGTGAGCAGAACCCGTATTGTGTTGTTTCCATACCTCAGTGTCTAGAAAGCACCAAGAACATAAGATGCTCAAAACTATTTGTGAAGGAAGGAGGAGAAAGGAGGAGGAGGGCAGAGAAGGGGAAGGAAGGGTGTCATAGCAGCATGCAGGGCCGCCCCTACCCAGGGAGATAGGTCTCGCATGTCAGGTGGCCAAAGTCAGAGCCGTCACAGTCTTCCACGCCCATGTGCCGGTGACCATCTCCACAGTAAGCCCGGTGACAGCCTGAGAGGACACAGGAAGCACAGCCCTGAGAAGGAGAAGGGGCAGGACCGGCCTGCCAGCCAGGGCAGGCCCACTCACTAAAACAGGCTTTGTTGCTAGGGCTCTGTCTGGTAAAAGTGCGGCCTACAGGACACAGCCAGAGCACACACCCTCTTGAATGGACCTCCACGAAGCTGCAGACTTACCCCAGGGCTGCCCCTCAGACCTCCAAGTCCCACACTGGAGAATAAGGGGACGCTCCAGCCCGGTCTTGCCTTGTTAGCTGAGATTCTGAGAGCAGCCCCTTGGCCTCTTGGGACCTGATGTCTTTACTCAAACCTGGGTCTTGGACATCACCTCCCCCTCCCAGGACCACTGTGGGTTCTCATAAGGCGAGGGTCAGGAGACTGTGAGCATAAGTCACAGGTTGTGGTCATGGGGGCTCTTGTCTGTTGCAAAGCTTCGAGGGTGGGTGGCCCTGCGTCGCTGGGGAGCCTGATGATCTTCAGTGGGGTATCTGTTCTCACACAAGGAGAGGGTCTTGGAGTATGAGCTCCACCCTCACTGTCACATGGCTTTGCGGTCCCGTTCCTTCCCTCCTGCGGAGTGATCCCTAGTTGATGTGTCTGCGCAGGCGTAGAAGGGACTCCAGGCAAGACCAGCACCCTGAGGATCAGCCCAGGAACTGTCACCGGAAGTGCACTGCACTGAGGGAGCATGAGCAGCTAGCTGCTGCCCCCGCGCCCGCCCGCCCCGCGCTCCTTCCTTGGAGCTTCTTGCGGACGAGGGACGTGACTGCATCTGCGCAGCGCAGCCCTGAGCCCCGGGTTCTCACGGCAGGCTTGAACGTAATTCAGGGAAGGGATGTTGACCCCTCGCTGCACCCAGACAATCCACACGCACCCCAGCCCACAGAATCTCCACCGGCCCGCAGTCGGCACCGACATGCCCACTCGGCTGAGGCAGAGGGGCTCGGAGGCACGTTGGCATCACCTCCCTCCCCCATCGCCTCCTCTGAGGGTGTGAGGGCGAGCTGGGGCTCTCGGAGCCTCTGCAGCCCCTGCTTTCCACCTCCGGGCCTGCTTTGTCGCTTGACTTTTTAAAAAAAAAAAAAAGAAAAAAAAAGCGAAGCAAACCCTCGGGCTGCCTTGTTGATAGCATCATATGAGCCTGCAGGCCGCCCTGCCCAGACCACCACTTGCCACAAAAAGGGCTTTGCTACCAGGGCTCTAGCTGGTAAAAGCCAGTACTGATGCACATTCTTGTTCCTTCTCCCTTTTGCTTTCACTCCTGCATCACCCTCATCTTGATTTATGTATGTATGTATGTATGTATGTATGTATGTATGTATTTATTTATTTATTTATTTATTTATGTAGCTTGTTTGTTTTTCACCCTTTATCCTTTAACAAAGAATGTGAGCTGGAATTTGGATTTTGCCAAGAAGTAGGATTCAGAAAAAGGGAGGACCTGGTGGCATCCTGGGGGCAAGATCCTTGACCCCAACCCCAGCTGATATGCCTGGATAAGGGAGGTGTTGACATATGGCTTCAGTGAGGCGGATCATCCCCACAACAGCTCACATACACCCGCTCTGGCTCTACAGTTGTCCCAAACCACCGCAGCTGGTGTCCAGGGCTGGCCCTGACCCCCACCCCGATGGCAATTCAAGCTTCAGGCTGAGCCCCACTCACTGATGCAGTCGTCACCCACATCATTGTTCCCGTCGTCACACTCCTCCCCGGGCTGCAGGACCCCATCCCCACAGGAGCCACGGTGGTCTACAGTGTAGTCCACAGGATAGAAGGGGGTCAGCTGGCCAAAGAAACACAACAGTTACCGAGGACAGGACGCCAGGCAGCTGCAGGCAGGGCAGGTCATTGGCCCTGGGGCAGAAGCCCGGAGGCCAGGGGGCGCTGCTCCCTCCTGGGTGGGAGAGGCACCCCTTTCCCGGCACCCAAGCTCTGCAGCTGGCAGAAGGGCTGGGCCAGATCAAGTCAGCAACCTTGCAGTGCAGGGATGGGAGACTGCCTGGCACCTTGGCTCAGGGACAGAGGTTCTATTTGGGGAGCAGGGGCATGGAGAGCTGCTCAGAAGCAGCGAGGGAGGGGGCTCAGCCCTCCCTGTGAACGGACTGCAGAAAGCTCTGCACCAGGCCTCGCTGTAGGCCTTCCATACCTTTAATGATGGTGCCTCTCCTGGGTGGGGTATGTCCTGAGCGCCCGCCTTGCGGTACCTGGATGGGGAGCCAGCCAAGGCTGTCCTTGAAGTACAGAGATCTCTGGTCTTTGCGGAAGGCAATGGCATGTTTGGTGTTTAGCCTCTCAAGCTCCTCCTGGTTGTTGACCACAAAAATCTGCCAGAGAACACACTGTGAGGCTTCGAGAAAATACTTCTACAGGGGGCAGGGGCAAGCTGGAGGAGGACACAGTCACTGTTCTTGGACTCGTTAACAGTGGGACAGGGGTTACATGTTACACTCTGCTCCTCCTGAAGGGGGAGGAATGTCTTGATTTGTATCTTTTCAACACAGTTCTTAAATGTCTCAAGCCGAAGTAAAAATATCCACCGTAATTAAAATTTTTTAAACATTTTTAAAAGTGCTCAAAACTTAAATAAGAAGGTGATGTCATCTACGCAAGTAACTCAACATCTAGAAAGAATTCTTAACAAAATCCTTATATGCAGAGATGTTCATTACAGGGCTATGTATGTTAGTGAAAAGTGTGGGCATACCCCATAAATATCCGACAATAGGGCACTGGTTAATTAAATTACAGCACAGCTGCATGACAGATAGGTGATTATGCATCAATTCAAGTGATGTTTATGATGATCGGATGTCCAGGCTGTACTTCAAAATAATCCAAGGGAGGGCGGGCAGCAGTAAGTTGGCATAAAGAGGAAACAAGATTGGCTGTGAGTAGATAATTATTGAATTTGGGTGAAGGGTACATGGAGGTTCATTACACTATTTGTTTTGCTTTTGTATTTGAAATTTTTACATATATATATTTTTGTTGTTGTTGTTGTTTAAAAACACAAAATACTCCAAAATGAACTCTCAACCAAATGGACAATTTTTCTTCTTTTGATTTTCCCCTTATTTTCCAATTTCTTATAACCAGTGTGCACCCAGTGTAAGTTTTACTAAACAAATACATGCCTACACACATAAAGAATAACTTTTACATTGCAAAGCCTCAGGAGGCCCAGGTGAGAGGTCCTGATGGACAATACCCCAGATTTCACCCGGAAGAACCTTACCGCAGGAACTCGCGGGGAGCTGGACCCATGCACGGATTCCCCGTAAGAAGGGTTATTCACAATCGTGGGGGGTCCACAGAGACATCTCCCTGGAGGCCCAGGAAATCCTCTTTCTCCTTTGGGTCCCATGGTAAGTTGTCCTAGGAAGCAACAGACTGCGGTGTTATTAGAGCCAAGGGAGAGAAAACCAAACAGCCCAGGTTGATGCACTCGAACCTCACAACAGAAAGAAGGCTGAAGTCCACAGTATCTCAGGGCAAGGCCTGGGGGAGAGGTTCAAAGAGATGCTTTTGATCCAACATGTGGAGGAGGTGATGTTCTCTGTCTGTCCCTTAACCATGCTAGATGTGGCAACACCTTTCCCAACCCTTCTTCTCCCTTACCTCTCTTTATACTTTTTTTTTTTTTATCCTCACCCAGGGACATCTTTGCATTTATTTTCAGATACAATGGGAAGGAGAGAAGGAGGAAGAGAGAGAGAGAGAGAGAGAGAGAGAGAGAGAGAGAGAGAGAAATCGATGTGAGAGAGACACATCGACCAGTTGCCACCCACACGACCCCAACTGGGGCCAGGGACAAACTGCAACCGAGGTACGTGCCCTTAGTGGGAACCAAACTCGGGTCTCTCCAGTCCGCAGGCCGACACTCTAACCGCTGAGCCAAACCGGCCAGGGAACCACTCTTTATACTTTAGAGACTAGACAGATAAGCTTTCTACTTCCCAGACTCCCTTGCATCGAGGTGACCATGTGCCACAGTGTTGGCCAATGCAAGGTTTGTGGTGGGACAAGAGTGGGCATCTGGGACAGTCTGTCCTGATAAGGGAGAATCATAGCTGGGGAGAGACATCGCTGATGACTGAGTGGATGGATGGATGGATGGATGAATGAATGAATGAATGAATGAATGAATGAATACAGACTAACTAGAAAGAAAATGTCTTCAGAAAAATCTAGACATCACATTCCAGCTGGCAGAAAAGTGCTGGGGCAAGAGCCATCCAATGGGAAGACAGGAAAAGATCGAGACTAAAAGGTGAAGTAAGTACCCCTCCTCTTGGGAAAATAGGACAGAGTCTGAATACCAACCAGTCATTGGTTCCAGGTTATAAATCATACAGGGCAGCCAGCAACTGGAGACACAGTTGACAGATCCCAGCAGGGCAAGAAATAAAACGACCCTGGGGAAAAGGTCTGGGCAGAACCCCAGGGAAGCCGCTGCAGCTGGAGCAGGAGACCTCAGTGGAGGGACCCCACACCCCGAGCCTTCGTGAGCAGGCGCGGCATGGCCAAGGTCAGAATGCTGCTGGCACGAGGGGAAGGCAGGCTCGTCAACATCTTATACCCAGTAACGGCTGTTTGTTCTAACAAGAAATGTGAATATGATCCTGTGGGAGGATCACCAGGCTGGTGGAGCAGAGCCCAGAGAGACTGCGCCAGCCCAGGAATATTCTAGGTAATTGAGCACCTGGGGAAACCCAGGTGGGGATGCTCTGTAACCAAGGACACGAGAGTAACCCCCACCACTCCTCAGAACCATGCCCTCGAGATTCAGGAGTTTGTCCCATTATCCAGCTAACTGGTGTAGAGGCTGAGATTTGAATTCATGTTTGACTTAACCCTGTGCCGTTCAGAAGACAAACATCTAAGAAAACTGATGCTCGCGGGAAGACGGCAATGCCCCGGTACCACAGTGATTCACTTATACCCTGTCTGTTGCAGGAAGGACTCAGCCAAATTTGTAATTTGGTTATTGCAAATTACATCCTAAAGGCATTTTGCCTTTTTTCCCTCCCCCAGCACCATCCCGCACTGTCCTGTCCCACAGTACTGGGAACCAGAACCAGAGGGAGCCTCCCAGTAATACGACAGGATGTGGCGGGGAGCCTGCTTCCTGCCACCACTGCAGTTTTCCTGCCGACTCCTCCCAGCTGTCAGAGGGCATCTGTTTCCCTGCCTGTTTCCTGCCAGGCTGCACCGAAGTGCACACAATCCGGACGCCCCCACGTGGGCCTCTAGGAGCTGGTCCAGCGGGCCTGCCTGTCCTCCAACCCTGAGCCAGAGGACCTGCTCCCCACCTTTGCCCAGGGAGCTCCCCGTCTCCACCAGCAGCTGGGGTGGGGCAGGTCTGACAGCGGAATCTGGGAGAAGGCAGAGAACCTCGAAACAGTCTCCACATCACCCCAGCTCACCCTCTGCCCTGCAGAGAGGCTGCACGGTGAAGGGGAAAGTCTCCAACCCAGGAGTCACAGTCTGAGTCTGGGTCAGGTGTGGTCACCAGTCAGCTCTGTGACCTTGGGGAAGTCACTTCTCTCTGAGGCTCCAAGTTCTTATCCACAAAGGGAGGGTTGGACTAGCCCAGGAGTTTAGCCTCTGGCCCATAGGACTTTGGGGCAGGGCTGCCAGGACTCTGGGAAGTGGTGTGCGAATCTTGGGGAGACATGTTTTCTCCCTGAGAGTGGGTTTGGAACTTTTATCGGATTCTCAAAGGTAGTCTTGGGAATCGCTTTGGGGGCCTGTTTCAACTCCCGATGATTATCCAATTCATCCCAGGCATAGGAAGAGCCTTGTTTAAACCCCTCCCTCCCCTTCTTCCTCTGCCCCCCAAAAACTTTTCCACAGACCAGGATTACTGCCCCATTTTCTTCATTCTCCTCACTCTGGGAGACTTGCAGAAAGGAAGTGACTCAAAGGAAAACACAGGAGGGACCTCAGTCCAAAGAGATGGCCAGCACTCTATTTGCACAATACCCAGGTGGGGCAGACTGAGAGCCAGTGTAGCCTCGTGAGCATCTAGGGGGACCAGCCCCACCTGCCAGGTGCCATGGGGATGGGGAGCCGACTCAGCCACAGACCGTGCCTCAAGGACTTGCCATCTAGGAGGAAGATGGAATACATCTGCAGACAACAGTTACCCGTGGAAAAGACCAGAGAGGCCACGTGTGGCTGGGCACCGGGGGCAACAGCAGAGAGGCCACGTGTGGCTGGGGCAGTGGGGGCAACAGTGGAGAGGCCACGTGTGGCTGGGCACCGGGGGCAACAGCGGAGAGGCCACGTGTGGCTGGGGCACCGGGGGCAACAGCAGAGAGGCCACGTGTGGCTGGGGCAGTGGGGGCAACAGCAGAGAGGCCACGTGTGGCTGGGCACCGGGGGCAACAGCACAGAGGTGATGTGACTAGGGTGCCAGGGAAAGGAGACCCGTCCATTAGGGACCAAGGAAGGCCTTACTGAAGAGAGGACTTGGAAGGAATGAGAGGATTTTTTTCGGTGAACCAGAGGATGACAGGAAAGTCATTTTAGGCCGCAGGACCTGGACAGACTGCAGAAAGATGCTCCAGCTCTGCAGAGAGCAGGGCGTCTGCTGGCGGACGGAGAAAGGCAGGGGTCTGGCAGAGGACGGGTGTGGAGGGGAAGGAGACAGGAGCACACCGGCTGGGCGAGAAGGAGTGGGGAGACCAAGGAGAGAAAGCAAGGCTACACGGCCCTACTAAAGGGCTTGGGCTGCAGTCCCCCAGAGACTGACAGGGCAGAACGGTGGGCGTCTGAGTGAGCTGCTGCTCTTCCCACCCAACCGCAGGTCGGAGGCGGAAACGGGAATTCAACGCAGACCAGGGCTGGCCTTCACAACAGGTACATGCATTAAGGTCTGAGTTTGCTAAGGACGCCCTTATGCATCAGCACAGCAATCCCCTCCTTGTTCCCCCATGACCCCTAAATACCCCAAGGACCAGACAGTCCCTTCCAAAGGCAAAACCCAGGCTTCAGGCCAGGCTCTCCGGCCCTGGCAGCTCATAGTCATGGTGCTCGAGGGGACTGTTATGCAGAAGGAAGACAGGTTGGAAGGACCCCCATCTGGATCATCTAGTCAGCTCTGGGAAACAAGTCACGGGCAGGGACACATAGCTTAGCTGCATCTCTAATCCAGCTCCCTTAACGAAATAGGCATAGATGCAGGGAGATAACTTACTGGTACTATTTGCAAACTTCCGCCTTCTGTTCTCAGAAGGGAAAAAAAGTGATATATGAAGAGTGTGAGGAGAGAGGGGGCTAGAGATTGGAAGAGGATGGATCCCCCCAGGCCTGGAGAGAAAAACACACCCCACCCCACGCACAGTATCCTGGGACCATAAGGCCTCAGCAGGAATGGCTGTGGGCACTTCTTGGGAAGTGGAACTGTACAGACCAGGATTCCCAGCATGGCCTGAGGGTGGCAGTTGCCAGGCACCCTTGGACCACGTGGCCTCAGGCAACAGGCATTTCAGAGGTAAACAGGGCAGAGGAAAGGCTGGAGGGAAGTCCCCTGCTGTTCTTCTGCCCTAATGTCCCAGGGTCTTTGCCCAACTCTCGTGGCCGTGGGCGAAGCAGCGAGAACCCCAGTGCCTCCTGGGACAAGTTTCCTGACATTCTGGCACCCTGGAGTCTCAGCACCAGCTTTCGTGTGGGGTAAAAGATCTAACAAAGTAGGACATTTCTTGATGATCCCAGGATGTGGTTGCAAATATATTTTCATAAGCACAGGGGGTGGGGTAGGGAAGAGCACTGTGGAATTTTGCCTTCGTTTTCTTAAGAAAAAAATTGGAACATAAATTGTTTTTATTCCTTTTGGAGAACTGAGGACAAAGAATCTTGCACGATCAGTAAACAGTGTTCTTGAACCTAGACGAGCTGTGTTTATACAGACAATGTGCTGCACTTGGAGCTGACAAGAGAAAAACCAACTCAAGGGCTTACTTAGCTCATCACATTAAACAAGGTAAAACGAGGTAGCAGTATACCTATGTGCGCTCAAAAGACTTTGATTTCTTTTTGTGGTTTCTTTCTATATTCTCTGCAAATTCATAAGGACTCTTTCCTGACACCGTGTAAGATAGAAAAATTTGCAATATTATCTTTATTACTAGGTTTGAGAAATTGCTTAGGGCCATAAACGATTTTCTAGAAAGAGGTGTCAGTTGATGAAATATGTATGTTAGTTTTCACTTAATGTCTAAATGACACCACCAATGTAATTTTTTTCTTTCCTCTATTTGTTCTCCAAAATGCTAAAAACAAAGCCAGAGCAATGTCTATCTTTCTTGTATAAAAGCTGAATAAGTCAAACTGTGAAGAAATGATAAATATACTGAAGTTCCTCGAGCAGTTTCCAACAGGAAGCACAAGGCAGGCCTCTGCTGGCGTTTCCTGTGCTCTGGGAGGCTGGCCAGGAGTGTGACACTGTAGGCCAAGGGAAGCAGTGTGGCTCTTACCTGCGGATGGGGGGCCCGGCGGGCCTGGGGGACCCTGACGGCCAGGTTGACCAGAAGGGCCAGGCTTGCCTGGTGGGCCCATAACTCCACTGTCTCCCTTCTGCCCCTGACAGAGAGAAAGGCAGAGCCTGTTACGAGAGCATGACATCAAACTTCCTTTCTGCCCAGCCAGTGTGGCCCAGTGGTTGAGTGTCGATCCATGGACCAAGAGGTTGCTGGTTTGATTCCTGGTCAGGGCACATGCCCAGGTTGTGGGCTAGATACCCAACTGGAGATGTGCAGGAGGTGGCCAATTGACGTTCTCTTTCATCAATGTTTCTCTCTCTCTCCCTCTCCCTTCCTGTCTCTCTAAAATCAATAAAGAAAAACAAACAAATGAACAAAAACTTCCTTCCTATTTATCTCTGAATCAGGGAACACCCTGCAGTTAGAGCAAGAGCCCAAGGTAAGATGCAGCCCCAGAGGTCTTGACCCCCAGGCTCCAAAAAAGCTCAGGGAAAGTGACATTTGAGACAGTGATGGTTGCAAGACATGACATTTTGCTCTGTCCTAGAAACATGGCACATGACAGCTGAAAAAAACACACAACACTCCAACCCTCTTCCCTCACTGGGCAGATGAGGAAACAGAGGCTCGAAAAGAGCAGGAATGAATGCAAGTCACCTAGCATCAATGCAGCGAAGGTGACCCGAGACCTCAGGCCATCTGCCTGCCCATCAGGACCATGTCTATTTGATCACAAGAGCTGTTTCCACTCAGCGGCTACCCATTGATCTCAGGATAAAGACTCATAACATTTATGCAAGATCATAACTATACAGTTATTTTTGTGGTCATTTCATGCACGTCTCTTCATGAGACATAAGCTCCCTGAGGATGTGAATCTGTCTTGTTCATCGCCCTTCCCCAGATCAAATGAGGAAGGAGGAAGAAGCTGAAAATACAAAGCAGAACTAGTTTTGTTCAGCTGCAAGTCAAAGATTTGGGTTTTCACCTTGGCTAGGAGACCATGGGTAACTCATGTCATTGCTTTGTGCCTCAATTTTCTCATCTGTAAAATGGGGCCAGTAAATATACACCTGTGGGGTTTGTTGTGAGGTTAACAAAGATCTCAGAGGTGAAAAGGGGGTTTGCACAGAACCGAGGGCTATGTAGGGCAAGCTGGTTACCACAACTGCTGGCTTGGTTTCGTCTTTCTCACACAGAAGGGTCCTGATTTCTTTCTTTTTTTTAATCCTTACCAGAGGACATTTTTGCATTTATCTTCAGATAGAGCGGGAGGGAGAGAGAGGGAGAAACATCGATGTGAGGGAAATACATCGAGCGGCTGCCACCCACACGACCCAACCTGGGCAGGGACAAACTGCAATCAAGGTACATGCCCTTAGCGGGAACCAAACTCAGGACACTCAGCTAACCGCTGAGCCAAACCGGCCAGGGCAGAAGGGTCCTGATTTCTTAAAGAGAGGCACCAGTGCACAGCGGTCATTCCACACTGGGTGTCCTCTTTGCTGCCCACTCTGGAAGGGCCAAGAGCAAAGATTTCCCCCTCAGACCTGCCCTCAGGAATGACTCCGAAACCAGGGCCTGTGGGTTTTCCCCAACAGTTTGCTGATTGTCCACTCTTGCCCCGGCTTAACCAGAACTGTGATTGATGCCTGGCAGCTTTGGCCCAGGTCCTCTTTCTACACTTGTGCCTTGGCAGGCTTGCCATCTGATGAAATGTAATCTTCCCCAAGTCTTGGAAGTGGGCACGCCGGACACTCCTTTTCAATCACAAAGGTGACATGTAGCCTGCTCCTTGTCAACCTGGCCCTGGGGGGCTCTCTCGGCACTGTCCAAGGAGTTCTCAAACTCTTAACGTGGGACTCGGGGGTCGGTTTCCAATCCCATCCTGATGCAGGGAGCCTTAAGCCTTAGCTGAAGCTGAAGCATTCCACGAGGTAACCAAGATGGGTCCCAGAATGGCAAAGGAAGTCACACTCTCTTAATATAGCCACAGCGAAGGCTTGTTTTCCTAACAGCCAGGTCAGCTGGCCGTGAGCGCAGGAAGCGCCCCAGCTGGAGGAGCGGGGAGCTCGCCTTGGTTCTGCCCCAGCGGTGATGGAATGTTCTGTTTACCGGTCATCTTCTCGGAACAAGCTTGTCTGTGGGAGCGGGCCTCACGGAACAGCGCTCTCCAGGGAGAGCATGTGGTCCTTCATCGCCACAAAGTGTGGTGACACTTCTCGAGGACGTCACTCTGTCTCCTTAACGGAAGGTGTGTAGGATGAGGTCAGGGGCTGCTTCCCTGGCCGGCCCGAAGGCAAGGCCCGCAGCAGGAAGGTAGTGAGAAAGGTGTGACGTGGGGTAGCTGGTCTCCCCTCTCTGAGCTGTGATTCGGGCTCGGAAGCTGGCTTAGCTTAGGGTCTGGGCGGGTCACTCCACTTCTCCGGGCCTGTTTCCTTGTGACCAAAGGGAGTTGAATTGGGTGGTCTCTAAAATCCTCTGGTTCTGAAATTCTAATCTTCTAAAGTCCCCTCTGGATTTCTGGTTCTGGGATTTGGATTGACTTGCAATAACCTCCAGGAACTCAGCGTGACCAGCCCAACGGACGCTTGGTATGTAAGACCCTCTGCTAGGAAATTAATTCACAACCAAAAGGAAGCACCGTGGCAGGCTCCCAAGGCTGACAACTCAAGTACCTGCTGGCTAGACAGGCATGGAGGGTGCGGAGCACACTCGGGTTGTTTATGACATCTCGTAGAAAGCATGAGCTCACCCCGAACTCCTGGACTTCTAGACATGGTTCCGGTGTAAAGATTACTACACTGAACCATTTTCAACTTTTTGGCTTCAGCCCTCATCAGGAAAAGACAAACACTCCCCAACTAAAGAACTAGACAGAAGCCAAAAGTCTTCTCGAACCCCAGTACAGAAAAGTCTGGATGGAAGTCAGAAACACCCCCGCCCCTTTGTTTTCTTCTTCTTTTTCAGAAATCGTGTACCTGTGACAGCACTGTGCAGGCAGGCCACGCCACCCACTGCGAAACTTTGAAAACCGAACTGAAATATTGGGTAAAGAGTATCGTGAAATCTGAATTATTCAGGTTGGAGGCTGTGTCCCTGCTAAGTTCACTTGGAAAAGATCAGAATTGGCTTCACATGTTACCATGGCTCTGAGCTGGCTACAGATTAGAATCATGCGGAGACTTTTAAAACAACAACAGTCCATGCCGAAGCCTCACGTCAGGTCACTTATGTCTGAGTCTTTGGGGAATGAGGCCTGGGCATGGGGGACAAGGACAGGCAAACTAGGAACTGCAGCTGTTGCCCGGAGATGTTCACTTCTCAACATCATATATGATTTGGTTAGGCCAAAATCTCGTCCAGTCTTACTCAGTTCCTAAAATCTGGAACATTTTAAATAAAATAAATAAAATAAAAACATTTTTAAAAGATGTTTAAAATGCTTAATGGAGCCCTGGCCGGTTTTGCTCAGTGGTTAGAGCATTGGCCTGCGGTCTGGAGAGACCCAGGTTCGGTTCTCGCTAAGGGCCCATATCTCGGTTGCAGTTTGTCCCGGCCCTGGTTGGGGTTGTGCAGGAGGCGGCCACTCGATGTGTCCCTTTCACATCAATGTTTCTCTCTCTCTCTCTCTCCCCCTCCCACTCTATCTGAACAAAAAATGGAAAAATGTCCTCGGGTGAGGATAAAAAAATAATAATAAAATAAAAATAAAATAAAATGCTTAATGGATATCTGTAGTAATGAGTAAAACTGCATATATTATTATTATTTTAAGTTAAAATTTAGGATGCAGTAACTATATATTGGGTATAAAAGAAACAAATGACTAGAAAGTTTACAAAAGAAAGGAAATACAGGAAAGGAAATATACTAAAGTTTCCTGGTTATGCCTGGTGTTAGGTCTTTAGATGATCATTTCTCCACCTTTGTGAATTTTCCAAGTTTCCTGTGATGGCCAGACATTACACTTATAATGGGAAGGAAGTAAAAGCGAACAAACCGACCACCTAAAGAGCCAAGGGCACATCTCTCCGAATGTCTGTCCGCTAGAGCTAAGATGAGAGGCTTCTCTAAGGCACTCGGGACAGCTCCAGAACCAGCCAAAGCAAGTGCACCTTCCTCTGTCCTGGTTCCCTCAGTTCACGTGGTTTGACACAAGAGCCCGCTGACCGGGAGGAGTTCAGAATAAAAAATTTCCCTAAACCCTTAACAGCGCCAATAAAGAGGGTCACTTACCAACGGGGATCCTGTGTGGGAGGTAAAATAAACCCTATCGTTGAGACCCAGGAGACCCTTCAACAGCAGGGAAGTACTGGGGCTATTCTCCAAAACTCCATTCGTGTCTGGGGCACGGAGGGGAAAAGCAGGTTTTCTGGGTAAACGACCAGATCTGGTTTTCACTTGCAGCTGCTTTGATTAAGAGAGACTTGTTCTTATGAACCAAAGATCCACTCTTGCTCCTGGCCTAGGAAACAGTGGCACACGGCATCCTGTCCCATCTACTCAAACTATGGCCAACCTAGAGAAGCCAGGGCTCCTGAAAGGGGTGCATTCTGCCCATGAGCCCAGAGCAAACTGAAGACTGGGTCTATGCAGTATCTCTGATTGACCCCACCTGCCCGCCTCTCCACACCGCCCCCCAGGCGAGGAGGTGTGACTGCAGGGGTGTGGTAAACCCTGGGATCCTTACCTGCTTGCCTCGTTTTCCTGGCCTTCCTGTGGGCCCCCGGTGTCCTGCTATCCCAGGCTCACCCTTTGGACCCATCTCACCCTAGAAAGAAAGAACAGAAGCAAGAGAGGAATTAGGGCCTGTGGAGCGGGCACATCTCTGCAGGTCTACCCAGTCCCTGGCCGTGAGGGCCACCTACTGGATTATTCCAGAACTTCCCCAAGTGGGCTGCTCTGGGAGACTGGAAGAGCAATGAGGTCACGTGGAAGGTAGGCAGGTTCTTCACGGAAGAGGAAGGAAAGGAGAAGGTTACCCTAGGGAGTGATTTATTATCTGAGAGAGACAACTGCCGGGCGCACAGATTTCGGTGTCCCACATCGCCATCCAGAATGGCCAAAGTCGGGGGGCTCCTGCATTTCAGTCACAAGTGGGCCTGTGACACTACAAGCTGTCGGGGGAAACGCTTTCTCTTCCCGTTGAAATTTCATGTTGTGTTTTGTTTTGTTTTTAGCACAAATTCAGATCTGGGTTTTTGAATGATTAGACACAGTTTTGACAACTATCATCTTTGGGAAGTTTCTGTTCATGTACTAAACTTTATATAGGGGTGTATATATCCCCCCTCTTCAGTCAAAATTGGTTTGAGTTCCAGCTCACTTCCATTTGATTTAGATGAAAACTCTGTGGGGAGATATGTTCCAGACATATGTTAAAATACTCGATATGATTATTGTAAAGGCATGGAAAGCAATAAGCAATATTCCTAATTGAAAAGCCCTATTTTGAAGTATCAGAATCAAATGCACAAATTGCAGAATTCTATTGTTTAAGGCCAACCTTTCGTAAAATCCATTTCTCCGTCTCAATTTCTCTCCTTCTCTGTGCTCTTCTGGGATTCCAGGCCCTCTTGCTGTTTCTTTGGGTCATGAACCCACAGGCCATTGTCCCCATCTCCAGCAATCCCTCTACAGCCCAGAATGCACCTCCAACAAGCCAAGTTTAGCAATAGCAACCTCGACCGTTTCTGTTAGTCAGCAGCCAGTGTCCATGAAGAGCTGCCCCAGACACCTAGAGAAAACAGTAAACACCCAGACGACTTTTCACATGGAAGTCAGAGGAGGTATAACACAGCAAAACTCCAGGGAACACCAATACACAGTAAGGATCCAGCAGAAACATCTGAAATTTTCTGTCGGCTCAGCCAACGTAATGAATCTGTCCTTACCCAAGTTGCTACATCTTGCCTCACCAAGAATTGTCCTTAAACCTATGAGTTCTTCCCAACCCCCATGTCCTTCAGGATGCTAGGCAGTGAAAGAGTGTGGAAGGGTAGATGGATTCTATGTGGCCATGGAGATGTGTGCACAATTTTCCGTGGCTGTTTAGAAGGGGCCAAGGGGTGTCTTGTTTGGCTGGGAGAAAAGAGCAGCATAAACAGCATAACTTTTTTCAAAGACTGTCAGAAGGAAGTGTAGCCCTTCTCTTCATCAACTGGAAGCAGCCAGTAATTTCTTGATCTAATTTCTCTCCTCTGACCTAATTATGGTTATCATATGAGCTCTGTCTTAGAACAGCCTGCCATGAAACGGGAAGAGGAGTCTTGAAGGCAAGTCTAGTAAATAGAGCAGAGACCAGAGAAGCTGTCATCTTTAATTTACAGTAATATATTTATTCTTTGATGTTCACTGTTACACTGAAGGAAAACCTAGCCTAAATATTTTTAAAATTTTTTCCTTTTTTATTTATTGTTGTCAGAGAGAGAGGAGGGGAGCGAGAGAGATAGGAACTTTAATGAGAGAGAACATCGACTGGCTGCCTCCTGCGTGCTCCCCACTGGGGATTGGGCCCACAACCTGGGCATGTGTCCTGACCTGGAATCAAACTGGTGACCTCTTGGTGCGTGGGTCGACGTTCAACCACTGAGCCACACCGGCCAGGTTAGCCTAAATAGTTTTAAATGGAATCATTGTTTTCTTTTAATATTTTCTTTAATTTTTTATTTACTTAATCTATTTTTAACCCAATACCCCGTCTAGGGTAGCAGAAAAAATGTTTTTGACAGTTTAAGGCAGTGGTAAATTATAATAAATTAATGTCAAATGATTGAAATTATTTAAATATGCTCTACTGACTGGAGAAAATCAGATAACATTGTTTATTCGAGTTGGGAAAATAAAACTTGAAGGAGAACTTGAGAAAATGTTTAGAATTTTAAGAAAGCATCTCGTTGGCATGTTGGAGGACACTGTGCTCTGAGGCCAAGGTTAAAGGAGCGGGTTCCCACGTCAGTGCCTTAGGGCACGAGGACCCACCGCTGCGGAGTTAGACTAGGGGTTGTTCTCGTGGCCATCTGTGCACCCTCTCTCTTCATTCTCTCCACCTCCTATCACCACCCTCCCCGTTCTTCTCCCCTAGACCCTAACCCTAAGGAGAAGTTGTTGTTTTTCATTGTCAGTCCATTGTCATCTTCACAGCCTTTGTCATATCTGCACATCATTTTATTCGTATTTACTAAATAATTTTTCCTTAAGTCAACTTTTCTTTTTTTAATCCTTATCCGAGGATATATTTTTCCATTTATTTTCAGATAGAGTTGCGGGGAGAGAGGGAGGGAGAGAGACAGAGAGAGAGAGAGAAACATCCATGTGAGAGAGACACACTGATTGGTTGCCTCCTGCACGACCCCAACCAGGGCTGGGGACAGACTGCAACCAAGGTACATGCCCTTGACCGGAATTGAACCTGAGACTCTTTGGTCTGGATCGACTTTTAACCACTGAGCCAAACCAGCCAGCGCATGAATTAACTCATTATCAAGCCTTTTCCCAAGCAAAGATAATCATGAACTCCCACCAAATATTTAACTATTTTTAAAAAACTTAACTATCAAATAAAAAGTGTTTGCTACCACCCAGCTAAAATAGCTCTGCAGCGATAGCGGTACATGTGCCGCCCCTGCAGAAGTGCCAGCTGGCGGCAGCCGCAGTGGCTTTAAGCCGAGATGCCTGTGCCTTGCACTGGGGCCCTTCACCACGGCAGCTCGGACCCGAGCCGCTCGCCTTCCAACATCACCGCGGCCCTCTGAGAGCTACCGAATGCAGAGAAAGGCCTCTGTCCATCAGGGGAGGTGTCCTTGCCCTCCCACTGACCTGGAGGGAGGTCTCAGACCATCCTGCCACCTTCTCACCAATATGTTCAGCAACTTGCTCCCCTTCCAAACCAGAATCTTCCATAATGAGACCTACTTTCCCTGCCTGATAAACAGAGAGGCAGACCTCTTTTTTGTACTTGGATGGTCTAATTTTTTTTTTTTTACTTCTATTTTTACTACTCAATATACTTACTTTCTGCCCCAACATTCCAGGAAATCCCGGGAAACCCTGTGAAAAGAGCAAACACAGTGAATGACTCTGAAATAATGCATGAGAGGGCCGTGGAAGAGCTTAGCCAGCCATGTTCAAGATAGAGCCCTGTCAGCCAGCCAGCCAGCCAGCCATCTAGTCAGCCAGCCAGCCAGCCAGTCAGCCAGACAGTCATCTAGTCAGCCAGTCAGTCATCTAGTCAGCCAGTCAGTCATCTAGTCAGCCAGCCAGTCATCTAGTCAGCCAGCCAGCCAGCCAGCCAGCCAGCCAGTCATCTAGTCAGTCAGACAGACAGACAGACAGACAGTCATCTAGTCAGTCAGACAGACAGACAGCCAGCCAGTCATCTAGTCAGTCAGACAGACAGCCAGCCAGTCATCTAATCAGTCAGACAGACAGACAGACAGTCATCTAGTCAGCCAGACAGTCAGTCAGACAGACAGACAGTCAACAGCCAGCCAGCCAGTCATGTAGTCAGTCAGACAAACAGACAGAGAGACAGACAGTCATCTAGTCAGCCAGCCAGCCAGCCAGCCATCTAGTCAGTCAGACAGACAAACAAACAGACAGCCAGTCAACCAGCTAGTTAGCCAGACAGTCAGTCATTTAGTCAGTCAGCCAGCCAGACAGTCATCTAGTCAGTCATTCAGACAGACAGACAGACAGACAGACAATCAGTCAGTCAGCCAGCCAGCCAGCCAGTCAACCAGCCAGCTAGTCAGTCAGCCAGCCAGCCAGTCATCTAGTCAGTCAACCTGTCAGCCAGCCAGTTAATCCATCAGCCGGCCGGCCAGTCAGTCAGCCAGCCAGTCAGCCAATCATCTAGTCAGCCAGACAGACAGACAGCCAATCAGTCAGCCAGCCAGCCAGCTAGTTAGTCAGCCAGTCAGTCAGCCAGCCAGCTAGTCAGCCAGCCAGTCATCTAGTCAGCCATCCAGCCAACCAGTCATCTAGTCAGTCAGTCAGTCAGACAGACAGATAGATAGCCAGCTCGTCAGCCAGCCAGCCAGCCAGCCAGTCAACCCACAAGATGGGGGTGGGCAGGGGCCACCACTTCTGCTGTAATTGACCATTTCTATGCAATAGCCATTACCTTTTCTCCTTTGGGACCCAAGTCACCCCTTTCACCTCTGGATCCCTGAGAGAAAACCACAGGAGAGAGTCCATGAGTCAATACATAGAGTATTTTGAACTAAAAGGTCCGAGCCTATGCCAATACCCTCATTTCACAGGCAAAGAATCAGAGATTAAGTGGCCTCTCCAGGAAGAAATGCTTTGTGATTTACCTTCTACTTGAACCCCAAATACCTCTGCATTAATAAAGAACAGCTCACAGGAACTCTGTCCCCCGGTTCTGGCTGGGATTTTTGTTTTGACACGAGAAGGTTGTGTGGTGAAGGCCTGGTCTGAAGACACCCCTGCCGTCTCCCTCCCACCCCCATGCGAGCTGCGTTGTCTCCACCTGGCACAAGCTTCGCTTGCTCTCTGCTCCACGTGAGGGCCTTTCCGGCCTGGGAGCTCCTCCCTAAGCGGCCTGCCCTGCCTCAGGGGCCCTCACTTGTCTCTCAGCCCACTGGTAAAAGATGGGGGAAATCAAGGCAGGGTCACGGCAGTCACTGACTGAAGAGAGACCTGGCCCATCCTCACTGACCCCGGAGCCGACAGCCCAGACCAGGAGCCGGGACAGAGAAGCACTAACCTTTTCCCCTCTGGATCCAGGGTAGCCCTGAAAGAAAGCAGAAGGTACATTTACAGTCAGGCCTGTCGGGCCTTTGGTTTGGGTGCGAGAACAGAAGGAATCCCTGAATGTGGTGAGATGTGTCTCACACCCTGCAAGTGTTGGCGGGGGCTGCAGCGTTCAGTGCAAAGAGGTCCCTGTGGATTGTGTGTGTGCCAGGCCTGAACACAACACTGCTTTTCTCACCACCCCCCAAAGGCCTGAGCAAGGATTGCCATCTGTTCTGTTGTCCAGCTTGACCCTTGCTGCCCAGGAGAACAGTAGGAATGGCATCTATGCCCCTGCGGCCCAGCCCTGAAGTCCCCCAAAGGTTGGTAAAGACAAGCACGCTGGCATCGGGCTGTCCAACATCTGTGACATTGGCTGGCCCAGGATGGCAGCTACACCCAGTTCCCATCTTTGTAGATAACCGCTCCAGAGTCTCAGTGAGAAGATCTGGGAACTTCACACTGACCTTGGAGCCCATTGGTCCTCTTGACCCCGGTAAGCCCATCAGGCCCAGGTCACCTTTTTCACCCTGTGGGAATCAGAAGAGGAAAAGAGACCTATAGTGATATTTCCTAGAGAAACTGACTCAGGAAGTCCTGGTCAAGATCAGAAAGGAACTTGGGACATTGGGGTTGGCTTGTGAATCTGGGGACCCCAAACGCTCCCTTGCTTACTCCCAGGGCCCCAAGGCTTTATTCTGGTATGTGAGATTAAATATAAAATAAATAGCCAAGGCAGAGCAGATCTCCAAAAGTAAATTCTCACTAAGATGTTGCAATGGAATAATGTTCGATCTTTTCCTAGAGAAAGTTGTAAGAGGGTGGTGGTAGGGAGAATACAGGGCACTGGGGCCCCAGAGGACAAGGTGTCAGCACCAAAAAAAACTTCACCTGCTTTGCTCTTTGCATAGGGTAGGACTTCCAGACATCTCCATATACTCTCACCCTAGGGTAGCAACCAAGTGGAGTGAACATCAATGAGCCTCTGTGTGTACGATGAAGGCAGGGAGCTAAGACTCATGGGTGAGCTTTGTTGCCCTTCAGAATCATTTGCAGTTGAACTTTCAGCACCTTCTGTGCTAAAAAACTATTTCTACCAGTGCTAACCAGTAGAAATATAAGGTAAGCCACATACTCAATTTTAAATTGTTTTAGAAGTCACATTAAAAGTATGAAATTAACATTAACAGTATTTTTTATTTACTGTAATTAATTTAATTTAATAATCATTTCAACATGTAGTCAATATAAAAATTATTAATGAGATATTTTACATTCTGTTTTTCATGATAAAAATTTGAAATCTGTTGTGCATTGTACATTTAAACCACATCTCAATTCAGGGTCTAAATTTTCATCCAAAAAACATGATCTGTATTAAGAGTTCATAAAATGTAGAGTTGAAAAAGCAAATTTCCATACTCAAGATGTGATTCATACATTTTATATATTTAAATGTTTTCAAATAACTGAACTGAGTAAAGGTTTTAAAATTCAAACTTTAATTGAAATGGAGCATCCAGTTCCTCATTACAAGGGTTCAATAGCCACATGTGCCTAGTGGCTGACATATTGGATGGCTCAGCTTTATACAGTTATTTTTTTTTTAATATCCTTGGGCCCTGGCCAGCATGGCTCAGTGGTTAGAGCATTGACCCACACACTGAAGGGTCACAGGTTCGATTCCCAGTCAAAGGCACATACCTGGTTTGCAGGTTTGATCCCCAGCCCCGGTCAGGGCATCTGCAGGAGGCAACCAATCGATGTGTCTCTCACATCGATATGTCTCTCTCTCTGTTCCCCTTCCTCCATCCCTTCCACTCTCTCTAAAAATCAATGGGAAAAATATCCTCAGGTGAGGATTAACAAATAAATAAATAAAAAATATCCTTAGGACTTTTACAAAGACTGGGAACAGTTTTCTATTCCCTTATCAATTCTGCCAGTAAATGAATCAGAGTAGATCGAGACATTCACCTGCCCGAGTCATGGCCTCTACACCCAATAGCCTATGACCAAAGTGAGAAGAATGTAAGCAAAGGCATGGGTGTCATGTTCGTTTTCCATAACCTGTCTGAGGAAAGGGATTTCATCAGCATTTGGTGACTCCTCTCTGAATGCAGGGTTTCGGTTGTTCCCGTCGGCCAAAGCCAACCCCCTCAACCCTCCAGCTCCAGCCAGATCACATGACAGGACAGCTTTCCAGACACAAGCCCCTCGTAGGTCATCTGGGGAAACCGGAGAGCTGCACGCTAACTCTCAGGACAAGGGGGCCAGGGCCCGGAAGAGGGCAGCAGACCCTCATTTCTCCCCTACTGGGGCAGAGCTGTTGAACCGACTGAGCTCTCACAGTCCCAGTGAAGGAGGAAGCATTTGGGGCCCTCTGGGCAGTCCTTGTGCCCTCTTCTTCCTGCCCCTTTGAGGAAGTGAGCGTCACTCACTGTGTGCCAAGGGCCAGGGGAGCTGCCATCTTCTCCCTCACGCTCCGATACCACATGCGACCTGAGAGTGCACCCCACTTACCCTGGGTCCTTCGGGGCCAGGCCAGCCGACGGGCCCCGGCATGCCAGGAGCACCTGGGGTGCCAGGTCTACCCTTCAAAGAGAACAGAAGTCAGGACAATAGGGTTTGTTTCCCTCCTTCCAGGAAATAAGATTTGTCTCTGGGGCCCAGAGGGGGATGGGGCCTCAAAAGCAAGGCCCCAGGACCCTCACCTCCAAAAACCGAGAGCCAAGAGGTTAGATCACTTAGGTATAAGTGAAAGCTCTTGGTGTGACATTGTATCAACACACGAGATCTTATTCTACCGAGCAAATGAAAGGTGGTGGAGAAGGGGTTCTAAACTTCTTGGTTTTTCAATCCTTTATCACTTCCACCCACCCACCCAAATTCCACTGCATTCCAATAGGTTCCCCCAAGGATGCCATGTAAATGGCCTAGGATTATGTTTGGGGAGCAGTAGCAGATTCTGTTGGTACTCCTCCAGATCTTGTTCACCTGCTCAGTGTGCCCATCCCCCAGGGGCTACCTTCCGTGCTGTAACAACTCATTCCTGCAACCTGCCACAGTGGAGTTTCCTGGGGGCAGTCGGAGCTGCCCAGAGATTTGCCTCCCCTCCCTGCAGCCAATAGCCCAGCTCCCTTACCTCAAGGCAAGACGAACTCTGTGGTGCAATTCTTACTCCACAGCTTCCCCAGGGATGGGGCTGAAGCCGGACGTCGCCTGATACCACCCCCACACTGGGCTCTTCCCCTGCCCCGTCTGGATTCCCCCTCTCTCAGGCTCCTCTTGAGAGAGCTCCCTTAATAACTGATTCACCCGCACATGGCAAGAGCATCTCTGTCACTGCTTCTAAGAAACTCAGCCTAAGCCAGAGGTTATGGAAGAGTTGGAGCAGGGACTTGGGTTCACCTTGACCTCTGCACCCACCGGCTAATTTCAGTTAGCCTAGCTAGAGATGTGGAAGGCTCAGCCCCTAAACCAGGGATCGCAACTGTCGCGTGTCTACGAGTTTCTGCTCTTGCCTCCCACATCCACAGTGCACATCACTAATCGATCATGGCCCTCATTAGTTCTGAGCACGGAGACCATTCCAGAATCCTCTCCGGCCCAGCAGTTCAGCCACTGTGCCTTGTCATTTGTGCCCTAAAGGGTTGTAACTTTGCCTCGCAAAGGTCTGTTTGAGGCTCTAATTGATAGTGAAAGTAATTGAATAAAACGTTCAACCCAAAAACTATTAATTTATATTTAGAGCCACGGGCATCTTTCTTGGCCAAAGTTTCGCCTCTCCTCCTATCACCAAGACCTGGGTCTCAGCGCCAGCATCCACGGACCGCAGTGAGTGGCTGCTGGCTTTCTTCTTCCTGACAGTAATGAGAGTCTTGATAACATGTGTTTGGTTCATTCAGAGTTCCTGTGACCTTAAGTAACTCCCATTTATTTCAGAAAAAGCCATTTGTTTCTGTCTGTTTGGCACTTTATTCTAGTTTAATCTAATGGACAGTGAGAGTCATTTTGTGCCACTGGTTGGGGCCCTGGGGGTTTCTCTGATGGATGGCAGGATGAGATGCCCTGAGGCTGGGGGAATCTGGCTGGGCTAGGCAGCCCTCGGAAGTCCAAAGGCCTGGTGGCAGCAGGCTCCAACTCCCAAGCGAAGGAGTGGGCAGACAGAGAAAGCTGCTATTGTCATCATCAGGATGATGGTGCCACCACTGTCCAATGGGTCGGAGGCTGCAGTAGTGCCCTGCTGGTTCCCCACCCCAAGCAGTGCACACACGGACACATGCACGCGGAACACAGTTGCCTATGTAATGCTGACAGGAACGCATGGACCATACCTTCCTTCCCGGTCGGCCAAGCTCCCCCTGTGGATGGAAAGGAGAGGTGGATGGAGGCTGCTTTGGAAGAGAAGTTCTAGAAGCAGAGGGCTTAGTAGGCCTGACGATTGGACATGCCCATGTGGCTTGGTCGCTTGGCCACTCAGCACCCCTGCGCGTCAGTGGGCCACGCCAAAACGCACCGGTGGGATCCCACACCTGCAGGGCAGCCCGGTATTCACGGAGCCCCGCCCATGCTCTAAGGCAGAGTTAGCACATGCCTTGACGCCTCAACCAGAAAAGGCTCAGTGGCATCCCCAGAGCACGGGCTGGAATTGCCAAGGAGACGTGGGGTGTGGAAGTGGCTCATACCTTTTCTCCCTTTGGTCCCATCTTGCCTGGAAGCCCTGGTGGACCCTACACAATCAAGAAGCAAAGAAAGTAGACATCAGATCAAGGCAGCACAGGTGGTGAGGGGGGCAGGACGGCTGGAAGGCTCTTGAGACACTCCTACAGCAGCCTCATTCTCGGTGCAGACTCAGGGCCCCAGAAACCCCACGAAGGACCTTCCTGTGCACGTCAGCCCAGTGTCCCCCTCTGTGTTCCTCCTCTTCCAGCTTTTGAGCTGCTTCCTCTCTGTGAGTTCAGTTTTCTCCCTGGGAGTCCTGGGTTGCCTGACACATCCTGAGTGCTTGGTGAGACTTGCAGAAACGCTGTTTGCTGCAAACAGGAGGCTTCGCTGCCTCTCAGATCTTTTCAGTTGCTCCTACCAGGCGTCCGTGGGCCCTGACAAAGGGGACGTCACACTTTGCACCCAGGAGCAGCCGACTTAGGAATCCCAGGGTGGATCTATGGGTACCAGGTACGGCCAAAGTCTTCTGTTTTAAGAAGATAAGAATGTGGGCAGCCTGACCAGTGTGGCTCAGTGGTTGAGCATCGACCCTGGACCAAGAGGTCACCAGTTCAATTCCCAGTCAGGGCACATGCCTGGGTTGCAGGCTCAGTCCCCAGAAGGGGTCATGAAGGAGGTGGCCAATCGATATTTCTCTTTCATATCAATGTTTCTTTCTCTCTCTCTAAAAAAATCAGTAAAACTCATTTAAAAAAAAAGAATGTGAGCAGCCCTAGCCAGTGTATCTCAGTTGGTTGGATGTTGTTCTTCGCACCAAGAGGTTGTGGGTTCAATTCCTGGTCGGGGGGTGTGCAGGAGGCAGCCGATCGATGTTCCACTCTCACATTGTTGTTTCTCTCTCTCTCTCTCTCTCTCTCTCTCTCTCTCTCTCTCTAAAAATCAATAAAAATCTTTAAAAAATAAAAAAAAAAGAATGTGGGCAAATAAATAGTGCACTTCTGCCCCACTGCCCAGCCACAGTAGGCTTGGCACACCCACAGCAGCTGCTGTCTGCTCGTGCGTCTACGAAATGATTGGCTGGCTGTTTCCAAATTCCCTGGTACAGCAAAGAGGAAATCTATCAAACCTCCAGGCTACTTCTTTATCCCCAGGATCTGCAGATGAACACGCCTAACACGAAGCCTGTTTGAAATACGATTTTACAAGACTTATCTAAATGACAAACAGCCCCCTCAGCCCGTGGTTCCCAAGCCTAGCTGCACTTTCGAATTCCCTGGGGATCTTTTGAAAATCCCAAAGACCAGGCCACACCCCGGACCAAGACATCGCAATGTCAGGGAGAGGGGCACAGGCACCAGAAATTTTTGAAGTTCCCAGAAGATTCTAACGCACAGATTAATTTGGAAACTACCATCTTTGGTTGACTCTCCTGTTTGGGGGAGGGCAGGGCAGGGCAGAGAGATTTTGTTCAAGTCTTTCATTTTTTCTAAGCCTTGGTTTCTTCCATTTCTTAAAATGGGCTGGAACTCTTTCACCAGGGTTGTGCTCTAGCTCTGAAGTTTGCATGATTTGCTCGGGTGTCTTGTTGAAATGCAGGCTCTGATTGATGCGGGAGGGCAGGCTGAGGTTCTGCATCTCTAACCTGCTCCCAGATGAGGCAAGTGCTGCTGGTCCACAGCTCTCACTCTGTTCTGAGAGCACAGAGGGGCTGCATGGCCCCCTGGAGCTGAGCAGCACAGCCTCCATGTGCCTCAGATGGGATTGAGAGAAGTCATGTATGAGCAAGTGCGCCTGGAGAGCTGCTGGTCAGCAGATCCCCCTTCCTTCCCCACAGCCTGCGGGTTCTCCTGGGTCCTGACAGCTGTCAGCAGACTGTGGGAAGATGGAAACCCACCTAAGAGGTGTTCCTCAGGGTGCCCACTTTGCCTTTCTGCAGACTCCCCAGCCTGTCTGGTCAACTCTGGGATCAGAGTCCTATACTCTTTATTGCATGTAACAAATATTTATGGAGAACCTACTACACCCTATACACTGGTGTAGATGGGCATACATTGTGAACAAGACATGTTCTCAAGACCAGGGGTCAGTTACTTTCTCTGTAAAGAGACAGATAGTAATATTTTAGGCTGTGTCTTTGATACAGCCACTCTGTCACAGCTACTCAACTCAAAAGCAGCCCGAGACAAGAAGCTTTAATTACACAAACAAGCTGTATTTGACCCCTGGGCCCCAGTTGGCCAACTCCAGCCACAGAGCTTACATTCGTGGGGAGGAGACCAAAGAGATCGGGAACAAAAAAACAAATGAGGAAACTCGAACAACATGAGAAAAATTTGCAGAGAATTAAAATAGGTCATTGGGTGGAGAGTGATGGGGAAGGCTTGGGTGGTTGAGGAAGGCATTTCTGAGGAGGTGGCATGTGACTGTATGCTGAGTGACAAAGGAGCTGGCCGTGTAAAACTCAGAAGGAAGAACATTCCAAACAGCTGGAGCCACAGCGTGAAGGCCCGAGGCCGCAGCTCGGCATGCTTGAGGACCCAGGACACGCTGCGCTGCTCCACGTGGGCAGTGTTGGTGGCAGGGGATGACGGGAGGTACAGACCGGGTCTCTGCGTGTGGGGCTTTCTAGCCAGGGTGACGAGTGTGTCTCTCAGTCTTCCCGGACGGGAAGCCACAGCAGGGTGACCCGGGAGGGTGAGATCATTCCTAAGGCACCTGGGAGACTGACTGCTCCTTGTTCCCTCTCCCTTCCCCATGGCAGGCCCAGAGCCCCAGGCTGGGGGACATTCTTCCTCAGGGGGTCCCTCGCCCAGCCAACCAGAGGAGCCAGGAGTCAGTGAGACAAGGTCTCTTTGTTTGCCTAGAAAATCCTTTTCCTAGTATTCTGTCTGTTCCTCACTCTTCCCTTTAGCTTTGCTGGGGAGGGTGGGCTGCTTAGTAGCCATATTAGGCCAAGTAATCTCAAGGTAACAAGTTCCTCTTTGCCTCCACTTTCCCGCAGGTACCTCTGGGTCCACGCGTGGGGTCAATGGCCACGTAAGGGACAACTCATTGTCATCAAGTGTTTGACGGTAACTATAATAATAACCATGTCCATCTAGGTAGCATCTCATTTGGTCCCCCACCCTACATCCAGTACTGTAGGGACAATTATTATCCCCATTGCATGGGCAAGGAAACCAAGGCAGGGAAGCTGGAATTCACCCAAAGTACCAGTGTTCTATTCACACGGCTCTGGAGCTGGAGGGGAGCCGGAGAAGGAAGAGCAGCCCCCGTAGCACATTAAAACGGGCATCCCTGCTGTGAACAGAAGGCAGCAGGAGAGGGCTAGAGGAATGCACCAACCTGGGGGCCAGGAGGCCCAGGGGAGCCTGGTGATCCGTGGATGCACGGGGACTGCGTGGTCTCCAGTTCCAGGATGAGATTCTTCATGTCTGGGGAGAGAAGCTTCAATGCAAAGCAATACGGGGTTATAGGTCAGACTTGGGGGACAGAAGACAGGTCACCACCCAGGACACAGACCTGCTCCGTAGTCCAGTTCCCAAGACTGGCGCTTCCCTGACACCCCAATGGGTGTCCCAAGAAGACGACCTTCCTGGCCACCAGTGTCTGTTCACTCATCTGCTCTGGAGCTGCACCTGGCTTGAATGGATTACAGAGCTATAATGATGGAGTTAGGAAGCTCGTTCCAGAGGCTTCTAGCCAATGTCTGAGACAGAACTGTCCAAAAGAAATACAATGTGAGCCACCAGTGTGAGCCACATATGTAGTTTTAACTGTTTTGGTAGTCACATTAAAAAAGCAAAAGGAGCCCTGGCCGGTTTGGCTCAGCGGTTAGAGCGTCAGCCTGCGGTCCAGAGAGACCCGGGTTCGGTTCCCGTTAAGGGCACGAACCTCGGTTGCAGTTCGTCCCCGGCCCTGGTTGGTCGTGCGGGTGGCAGCCACTCGATGTGTCCCTTTCACATCGATGTTTCTCTCTCTCTCTCTTCCTCTCTCTCTCTCCCTCACACTCTATCTCAACAAAAAATGGAAAAATGTCCTCGAGTGAGGATAAAAAAAAAAAAAAGCAAAAGGAGTTCGGCTGGAGTGGCTCCGTTGGTTGAGCATCGTCCTGTGCACCAAAAAGTTGGTGGTTCGATGCCCAATCAGGGCACATACCTGGTTGCGGGCTTGATCCCTGGTCGAGGCACACACAGAAGGCCACTGATCAATGTCTCTCTCACCTCTCTCTCTCACCTCTCTCTCTCCCTCACCCTCTCTCTTTCTCCCCCTGCCCCTTTCCTCTCTCTAAGTATGTCCTCAGGTGAGGATAAAAAATAAAGGAAAAGAAAACAAGTGGAATTAATTTTAATAATATATTTTATTAAATATACTCCAAATTTATCATTTCAACACATATTCAATATTTAAAAATTGCTGAGATATTTTACACTCTTCTTTTCATACAAAGTCTTCACAGTTCAGCGTATATTTTATACGTGCAGCTCAGCTCAAACTGGCCACGCTAACACTCAGTCGCCCATATGGCTAATGGCTGTACTGGACAGTACAGGTCGAAGGGTTTCTGGAAAGATCTGAGGAGCTCAAGTCCCTGGAAGGCCCTGCCTGTTGTCTTCTAGGTCAGATCCCCCAATCCTGCTCTTTCCTTCACTTTTCCTCTCTCTCCGCTCTGTCCCCTCTCACACCTCAGCCTGGCTGTGGGGGTCCACTTCCTGTGTCACCTCACAAAACAGTGTTAGATACAGGCCAGGGAAGGGCCTTCCTAAACCCTCGGGGGGAGACACACAAAAGGGGAAATTCCATATCTGAGCAGCTGATGGGAACCCAGAAAGTTATGCATTCACCTCATTGTTTTGGGGAAGATGGGGACCTTTGCCAAATTCAAGTCCCCGCTAAGAAGAATCCCCTCATAACTCTGGGAGGGTGGACATGCGCCAGCAGCTGAAAAGTGTCCACTGCTGGGCTCAACTTGCTGCGGGAGAGGAAAGGCCCGAATCCCCCAGAGAAGATTCCGGAGGGAGCTGACTTTGAGGGATGAGGGCAGTGGTGTGGGGCGGTGTGGTGGGCACGGTTCAGTTCCCTCGTGTGTCCTAAGGTACTCACCGGACTTCGGCCCCCTCTGAAGAATGGTGGTGGGAACAGTGGGGGCGGAGGGGGTGTCAGCAGGCAGCATGCTTTGTGGCTGCCACGCTTCTTCTGATCCAGACCAGGAAGGGCTGTTTAGAGAAAACTGCTGCTCATTAGCATGGGGTCAGGGCGAGGGCCTCTGTCACGCCCACCGCGCCCAAGGGAGACCCACGCTGCCACTCCAGACTCCCAAATCTGATTCCTAACCTCTTAGATGTGAGCACACCTCCCTTTGCTATTTGACATAACCCTCCCTTGGCCTTCAGGAGAGAACAGTGACAGGGACACTGACTGTTATGAGGTCCAGTTCTCCTTCTTCAGGAATTGACTTAATACTTTGTAGATGGGGCAAGGAGTTCAAAGTTCAACAGACTCATAATGTGCCCGAAGAGTTGGGGAGAAGGAAGTCATTGTGAGTAACTTTGACACTGTGCTCAGAAGGAACTGTTCAGACAGAGGCAGCCTGGGCTGGAGGCAGCGTTGACTGTAAGGGACCGTGAGCCATGGTTTCAAACATACTGGACTCCGGATTCTACGCACACATTCAGTGTCACCCAGGCTCACTAGAGAATTACACGTCAATGTCTCAACCTAGGGGGTGAGGAGGTGCAGAGAGGGCCCTGGACCCCCATAGCTTCGTTGTCACATGGAGCCTCCTGATGCACACCTCACTGAGGAGGAGGACACCGGGGGCCAGTGCAGGAGTGAAAGAGGAGGAAGAATCAAGGGCGCTTTTGATGTTGCAAGGAACCCGGGGCAACTGTGGTCAGAGTGTGAGATAGAAAAGTCGGAGGAAGCACTAGCTTGTGGGGAAAGCGGCCGCATTCGGTGTTAAACATTTGTTAACTCGAGCACGTGCTTTTCCGGGCACTGGGCTGGCCCTTGCGGGGAGCAGGGAGACGCCTCAAACGGTGCCCCTGACCTGCAGATGGTAAAGCCGGTGGAGGCTGAGCGGCCGCCCTCCTGCTCATATCCCAGTCTCCTCCCAGTCCCGGAGACTTACTGCTCATCGCGAACTGCAGAAGCCGCCTCTACCGGGAAGCTTTCCTTGGCTTCCCAGGCTAAGGCTCAGGGGTCCTGCTTTTCTTTTCTTTGGGTTTACCCCTATATTTACCTTTATCCATGAGGTGAAACTATTTCCTGGTATCTCTCTGACTAACCTGTGTTTTCCCAGAGGATAGGAGCCCGTTTTTACCCCCAGGGCCTAGCACAGTAACTGGCACACACATTCCTCAAATGTTTGATAAACTAATTTTCAAAAAATCACTTATGACATCCCAGGCACTGTTTAAATCCTTCCCACATAAATTTACCTAATCCTCACAGCAACCCTGAGAGTTAACTACTATTATTATTATCGTCACCCCTATTTTACAGATCAGTAATGACCCAGAGAGGTGAAGTGACTGCCCAAGGTCATACAACTAGGAAGGGACAGAGCCAGGATTTGAACCTAACCGTCTGTCCAGAGTCCTTCCTCTATATTTCTACACTATGACTACAATGTGGGGAAAATAAAGGTCAGGAGCTAAGAAGGCAGGGGCTCCCGTAACAATTACCTGAGATTTACAGTATCGGTGCCCTTCAACCAAAGGTCATTAGGAGCACACCTGTAGTTGAACACAGTTGGCTCTGTTGACTCATTTCAAATGGGGAGCATGCACACCGGGGGGAACCAGGGGACCTCTCGGTAACGGGATTGAGAAAGGATTTATTCCAAGTTGGAGCTTTCGCAGGTGGTTTTGGGGGAGACTATGAGGAAGCAAAGTCTGGCCCTGCTCTGGATTGATGCTGTCAGGAAGCATGGGCTAGTTTACGTCTATCTTAATTCTTAGCTGGAAGAGAAGGGAGGGAGACTGAAGCTAGGGCTGGTAAGGCAGCAATAGTCACTCCTGTTAGCAAGCACAGAGGGACAGTTGGTCGTTTTGGTGGTTGGCTGATAGTCTTATTTTGTCTGTGTCTAACATGGGGGCAGAGTGGCCTTGTGTTTTGTCTTGCTCCATCACAGTCGCAGAGTGACCTTGTCTAATGTTATGCTGTGAAATCATTTATGTTCAACAGGCCAGCACCACAGCCTGGCTGAGTGGCAGGCCTGCCCCAGCTCTCATGGCTGCTTTTCTCTTTCTCAGTGATAAACTAATACAGCTATATTGTTATAAAACTTCACACCAGTTTCCCTTTCTGAGTGTTACAATTGCAACACAACAACAACAAAAAGATATCGAGAAATAAACTTAACCAAGGAGGTAAAAGACCCGTCCTCAGAAAACTACATGACACTGAAAAAAAAAATAGAGGAAGATATTTAAAAAGTGGAAACATATACCATGTTCATGGACTAGAAAAATCAACATCATTAAAATGTCCATACTACCCAAAGCAATCTACAGAGTCAATGCAATCCCTATTAAAATACCAACAACATATTTCACAGATCTAGAACAAATACTCCAAAAGTTTATATGGAACCAAAAAAGACCCCAAATAGCCACAGCAATCGTGAAAAAGAACAAAGTGGAAGGGATCCAATACCAAATATCAGGTTATACTACAAAGCCATCGTAATCAAAACATCCTGGTACTGGCACAAGAACAGGCATATAGATCAATGGAACAGAACAAAGAACCCATATATCGACCCAAGACAATATGCACAATTAGTGTTTGACAAAGGAGGTAAGAGCATACAATAGAGAAGAGCGAGTCTCTTCAATAAATGGTGTTGGGGAGTTGGACAGGTACATGCAAAAAAATGAAACTAGACCACCAACTTACACCATACACAAGAATAAATTCAAAATGGATAAAAGACTTAAAATGAAACTATAAAAAGCCTAGTAGAAAATGTAGGCAGAACAATCTCAGACATCATATGTAGTGGAATTTTCACTGATACATCACGTAAGCCAAGAGAAACAAAGGAAAAAATTAATAAATAGGACTACTTCAAACTAAAAACATCCTGCACAGCAAAAGAAGTCAGCATTAAAATGAAAAGGGAACCCACACTCTGGGAGAACATATTTGCCAATGATACATCAAATAAGGGGTTCATATCCAAAATATATAGAGTACTCATACAACTCAACAAAAGGAAGACAAACAATTGAATTTAAAAATGGGCAGAGGACCTGAATAGACACTTCTCTAAACAGGACATACAAATGGCCAGGAGACATATAAGAAAATGATGAACATCACTAATCATCAGAGAGATGCAAATTAAAACGACTATGAGATATCACCTCACATCTGCCAGAATGGCCGCCATCAACAAATCCTCAAACAAGTGCTGGCAAGGATGTGGAGAAAAGGGGACTCTAACACACTGCTGGTGGGAATGCAAACTGGTGCAACCTCTATAAAAAACAATATGGTGTTTCCTCAAAAAATTAAAAATGGAATTCCCATTTGACCCAGTAATCCCACTTCTAGGAATATATCTGAAGAAGCCCGAAACACCAATCAGAAAGAATATATGTACCCCTATGTTCATAGCAGCGCTATTTACAATAGCTAAGCTCTGGAAACAGCCCATGTTCCCATCAGTAGACAAGTGGATAAAAAAGCTGTGGTACATATATACAATGGAGTACTATGCAGCTGTAAGAAAGAAAGATCTCTTACCCTTTGAGATGACATGGAGGGACCTGGAGAGTATTATACTAAGCGAAATAAGCCAGTCAGAGAAAGACAAGTACCACATGATCTCACTTATTTATGGAATATCATGAACAAAATAAGCTGTTGATCAAGATAGACCCAAGTCATGGAAGTAGGGAACAGACTGACAAACCTCAGAGGGGTGGGAAGAGATAAACCAAAGAACTTAAATGCACATATGTACAGCCAATGGACACAGACAGTGGTTTGGGGAAAGCAGGAGGGAGATGGGAGCAGGGAGAAGGGGGTCAATGGGGGGAAATGGAGGGGAGACATCTGTATTACCTTCAACAATAAAAAAAATAAAATAAAACTTGACACCAATGCCAATGCTATTCCTCTTCTAGTTCCTTCCCTGAAGCTAGGCGTGAACATTGCTCCACTCTGTCTCGGGCATGTGGGGAAGGCGGGCAGACTCCGCCAGCTTCAGAACCCAGTCACGTCCCCAGCTGCAGTTTCTCCTTTGCCTCTCTTTGGCCTCAGCAGACAGCTAAGGGCCGAGGATGCACACAGCCTCTCCCAGCCAGGAACACCTGGGAAGCTGGCAGCTTCCCACAGCTCATTTGCACTCCTGACCATTTATTTTTCCAGACCCTGTGTGGCCCGCAATGCCTCCCTTCACCCACACCCTGTGGCGTTCCACCGGTGAAAGACCCTGCCTCATCTAAAGCAATCACCTTTCATTTCTTCCTGGAAACTGGAGATCTCTCAGTGAACATAAATTGTCAAGCTATTTTCCTGGGGAGGCATCTGCATCCTTTACCCCTCCCCATCCCTTTCCCCCTTGACCCACTTCATTGTCAGCAGGTGAAGACCATCTATTTCTGCACCCCCCCCCCCAACTCCCTGGAGATGTTTGTTTTTAGCAGTCTAGTTTATTTACAGCTCATCCCAACTCAGAATATTTCCATCAGGTGGACGTGTTTGGGAACAGCTTCCCCCCACCCCACCCCCTCCTCTTCTTCCCAGACAACTAAGCCAGGACTTCACATGTCTATTTTGGTGTTATCTGAGTGGCCTGCGGATCTGTCTCTGGACTATGCTGCCTCCGTGGAATCACGTCTGAGCTCAGGGTCCAGGCTGGAAGCCCCAGCAGGCTCCACTGTGATGGAAAATCATTCGTATGTGTACATGGGGAGCAGGGACCTGCCTGTGCCCTGGGGCTCAGCTCCAGGCAGCTGCCTTGGAAATATCCACTATGACGGAATTTCAGAGGCACCAAAGTCATGTTTCATGTGGCCACTGTGGTGCCAGATCATGGGCAGAAACGATGCTGAGTCTAATGTGGGCTTTTGGCAAACCTTTGGGGGGTGTTGCTGTTACTGATGCTGGCTTTGCCCTCGGGACTCAATACTGTCTTGATTCTGGGGCACAGCCTTGCAAAGTGATTCACTCCAACTTACTCTTGGAAATATAGGGACTTGGA